CGTATTTACTGGTCTAAACATCAGTGCATGGGCTCTTAAAACAGCTCTTTTGTGTGATAACTGCACAGTGGACTACTGTGATCTTCAAAAGCGTTAAAATCTGAATGTATATCTAACCGTTCCATCACAGGTTCCATCGCGACGCCAATGTGATGATTTGAAGTACTTGAATTATACTATAAACTAGCAATCTCAGAAACGACGCAATTTATTCAAGAAGTACTAGATGAGCACGAACAAACGTGTTGTATTTGGAATTCAAAATCAAAACAGTCATCAATACAATGGAATCATTGGTTCATACAAACACCACAACTACGTAAACACATATAAAAGATGTTCACTGTTATTTTTGTGTTATTTCAAAAAGTCTATTGTACGAAAACAAGTCATATCTTCGGAAGGTAATCATATGTTTCTTTTACAACTTCAATCATATGTCGATTGATGGGAACTGACAAGGTTTGAGGGTTTAGGTGACACCCTACATCTCCGAACTCACCCGTTTCTTTTAATAGAACTTATATAATTGCAAAAAGTAAATGATAACATATGAAAAACAATTTTGCATCGTGACTCACATACTTGACTGTAAACTTCAAACATGAGATGATCAACTATCATAGTTAATCACTTTTATCAACATGAGAAGAATATGTTACGTTCTTTTGTATCATGAATTTGTAACTGTATTCATTGTAAAACTACACAAGAATTATTAATTTAGGTTTTATATGTTATTTGTCAGTGAGAATGGTTTCATTGTATTAACGCCAAATTTGCATCGTATCATTATGAATCACTCTCACAGTGATATCTCCCTTAAAACAGTCTACGTCAAGGAGTAAAAATCGAATTTTCGCGATATTTGGCGCTTCTTTTGTCTTCCTTTTCACCGCGTTTACTTTTATATTATCATCAATGTTTACTTTGATGTTTATTTGATAAATTGATAGTGACTTACTGTAATCGAAGCCGTAGAATTAGATGTAGTGAGCATTGATTGGGTGAACACAAAATTTACTGAGAGCATCGATACTGAGTAATTAAAAACAATTTATCTTAGGAGTTGGATTAAATGGATGTGCCTCAATAAATAAAACACTCCTGGAGTGATGAATAAAGCTGATGTCAACGATGCAAATGATGATTAGTCTGAAGCTATGTTTAAAGTATTAGGATTCCAGGATCCGAAATCTGTAATCTGACAGGATAGATGGTCATCCCAACTCTCTGAATATGAAATGAGATACTGTGATATTGATTCAGAATCAATGGTTATCATAATTAGACGAACAATTTATTTTTTGTCCTGTTTCAGAATTAGTTTTCATAGTCATCTGTTTTGTTTCTTCTGTTCTGATTTTCCTCTTATAATTATCAGGAAGCCATATGTCAATTTACGTTTAAACAATGATCCAATATTCATATTATTAGAGTGTAGATGGCGTTGAGTCTCGCTTGACTATGATCACCACTACAATAAGATTACGCGCCCCAAAACGACTTGGTTCCATCGATGACTCGCAAACCAGAAGACTTTAATTAGTCCAGATAAAGTATATTTATTGGAGATCTCGTGGTGTCGAAAGAATACCAAGACGTGCCAACGAGTACAGGCAATAGGAGCAGAGCGTAAGAAAGTTCGAACCAAACAAGGCGGATGATCGAACGGAAAGTGATTTTGATACAGTTAAACAATAATGAGTAAGATAAAACAATCACTGGTACAATTGGTTATAATAATAATAATTGTTTCCATTATTCAAATCGTGTTCTCGTCGAGAAATGCAGGTCACTACAAGTGTTCGACATTTTTATAAATATACCCTCATTATAACAAAAATCAGGTAAAGGAATTTCTAGGATTGTGACTTTTTTTTCCATAAATATATTTTGTGTAATACACTGTGGATGACAAATATTAAAAAGTTTTAGAATGTGAACTTCGTTTTCCATAATAATAATCCATCTAAACGATCGATTTAAACATTCATTCTTTTATGATTTAAATAATCTACAAGGTGTTTAAAATTTTATGGACTAATTTTCTAATTTATTTATTGTCATACCCCGATAAGGATAATGAATTGTAACTTTGAAAACTATTTATGGACCGAGACGATATGTATATTTTCTATTGTATAATTGCTAAGTAACTAAACTATTCATGGTAAGCGAAGATGGATAGTGGCTAGCAGTGGAATGGAGGACGCGCGTTTCGTCCTATTTGGGACTCGTCAGCTGGATGTACCTGCATCTCAGTGTTGATGTCCATTCTGGGACTCGAACCCAGTAACTCTCGCTTGAAACGCCATCGCGTTATCCACTCGGCCACTGAGTCCTGATAGCCACTCGCTTGTGAATTTAGGCTATATCGAGGCAATACGCACAGTATGCACATATGCCAATTACAGACTGACCAGTTTCAGTAGTAACACATCGATGGGAAGATTCAAACAAACAATACTAAATGAATTTAAACTATTCACATTCATGTCCCCCTTATTATAAGCTTTATTTTGACCTATAAGCTATTCTTATATGGTTTACCATTCTTGAATTATGCCCTGTCTATTATTTACTATCTCCCCTATTCACAGCCACATTTGGCTAAATCTTGTTCACATGATATTTTCTATTTTATGGTACGATGTGGTCAGTTTGATTGATATATAAGCTCAGTATGTTTGAAATATAATGATTCATACCGCAGAGGCTGTTCTGGACTTAACTGGCTGGGCTAGGCAGAAGCAGGATCGACAAGTACTCTAGACTGCTCATACGATTTCCGTGTGTCACTGTTCCAATCGATAATTCGATGCTCTCTGATTGGCGATCTTATCACGTCATACGTTAACAGAACATCTAATCGGCCACAAGTTATGACATTTATCAAATGCCCTAATATCTATTCTCATATGGTACTAATAAGGGATGTATTGAGATACAAGAAAGAAAATAGTAAATCTTGAAATTAATTTAGACTAAGCAGACACTTAATATGCTAATGAATATGTGAGTGAAAAAAGGAAGTGTTATATCGGTTGCGTGCTTTCTTGCCCAGTTGATATATAACGTGATGATCTCCGCCAATGAGAGAGCAGTGTATTGTCGATCAGAGCAATGATACACGAAAACCCGTATGAGTAGTCTTGAGTACTTATCAGTCCTGCTATCTACCTAGCCCAGCCAATTAAGTCCAGAACACCAACAACAGCCTCTGAAATATGAATCATTATTCTCAAACATACTGGGTTTATATACCAAACAAACTGACCACATCGCACCATAAAATAGAAAATAGCATTTGTACAAGATTTGGCCAAATGTGGCTGTGAATAGTAGGAACAGTAATTAGTGGACTAGGGATAACTGAAGAATGGTAAATCGTATAATAATAGTCTATATGTCAAAATAAAGCTTATCATAAGAGGGACACGAATATGGATAGTTACTTAACTATTATACAATAGGAAATATACATATCATATTGGTTCATAAGTAGTCCTCAAAGTTATCATTCATAATTCGCCACGGGATATAACAAGAATTGATTAACTTACTTATGAAATATACATTACAACGATTCAACATGATTCTTAATCAAAAAGATTTTAAAAACTCATATGAGAGATGAGAAAGTTCAAGGATTCATATTTCATCTTGACAATTATAACCTTTTAATCTTGAATATTGTTACTTAGTAAGCGACATATAGTTGATTAGGTGTTAAAAATAAATATGCAATACAATGAACAAAAATTAATGGATACTTGTAAATTGTTGATTTTAAAGTTTCTTACCCATAGTTAATACTAACATTATTACTTCATGTTGTAGGCCGTTTCGATAAAATATTTTCCAAGTAGTCTGATTACTTATAACAACAGAATGTTTCTAATGTGTAACTAATTGAATGAAGATGTGATTAACCAGTAAGTGAAGGCAAACAGCTATTAAGCTTGTTACATGTCAGACCACTTAATATCATGAATGCTTTGAAGTTATTGATTTAAACACTGATCTCACTTTGGTCTCTACTCTCTATTTGAACTGCCAGTATTTGTGTTGAATATATTATAGTCTATTCTGTTATTTGGTTCTTAATTAGTGGTCGTGATTTGTGAATCTGGATATGTGATTCAATATTTAACTTGTCTATCGATTCGTAATAATATTCTATTATCATATTACATCCAAATAAATCGAAATTATCATATTTTTAAGTAACAGCAGTTTGATTTCTATCTCCTTTGAATTTTTTGTTTGATAAATGTCGTCAGAAATTCAATGAAACTACTACTGTCAGAAGTAGAAGATAGTAAATTCCATGTGATAAATGTAATCAACTGTACATAAAACACGTGATACAAAATTCTTTCAAGGTGGATTCACTAAATTCTAATAAGCATCAGTGACTGATGAAACTCATTTGCATTAGTGACATAACAAATGTTACCGTTCTACTGGTTGATTGTTGAGGAATATAGTGTGTTGAGTGAAGTCGGTTAATCTTGAGTAAACCGATAACTCTACTAGGAGACTTAGCCTACGTTAAATATTCAATTAACGGGATATTATTTATTTATTGGAGTTAAATGTAGAAGAATTAATCCTCTACAAACTACAGAGTTAAGAGATTCCTTATTGAAGAAAATTGGTTCGAAATTACTTTTTTCTTTAAATAAGTGATGATTTCATGCATAATTTCAAAATTATTTACCGATTTGTACAAACAATAGCCTTGCGGAATATAATAGTTTAAATTAAAATAAATTTTAACAGTTGAGATCATGAATCAATTGAAGCTAGACCACCGTGGAAAACCTGGAAGCACTGAACGGCCGTTTCATCCTATTGTGGGACTCCTCAGCAGTTCACATCCACGATCCCGCCTATCGAATCTCGCAAGGCAAATAAATTTAGATTATATTATAGGCATACATTTTAAGTAAAATTTTTTTTGTATTAAACATAGAAAAACTTAAGTATGGAAGAAAGTCATTGTGTTCATTTACAATACTTAATATTTAAATATCAAGGTGTATGTTATCAGTTTGTAATCAGTTGTTTTGAAAAGAAACCTATTTAGAAATTTAAGTTGTGAAAAGCCTCATTTTAGTGACAGTTTGATACTGATTTCATTCAGAAGAAAATTGAGGAAAAGATAACTAATCTCATTTCTCGGCTCTGTTATTAATTATCCAAACGTATTTCTTCTAGAGAGATAGATTCTATGGTCTCGATTCCTCCATAATACTTCCAACTTATTAGCAACTTTATCTAAGAAAACTTCATGTGGATCACGAAATTGAAGTCGATGTCTCTGTTGTAGAAAAAGTTAACAATAATATATTCAAAATAAAATAGTTTACTGTAAAACATTTCTCTCTGTTTGGGTATGGATCTTTTGGTAGGTACAGTTCTTTATCCCATTTTTTGTCTTGTTTTAATGGTTTCAGGAAAAAATTCGGCAGTTTTCGTAGAACTGTGTTTTCACAGTTTGTTCCCCATACTAGAGAGCACAGTTAAATTAATTTGTTATGCACACTTACTTTGTTGTCTTGTCTTCTTTAGGAGATTCAATTTCATCGGATCTCTTTCATATGTTGTAATAAACTTTGGATATTTACTTTCATTTGTAGGAGTCAACTGAAAATAAATAAATAAATAATAATCGAACAATTTCCACATTTTGGCACCGACAATAGTTACGTCATAGGGGGCAAAATAAACCTTGATATTTGATGTCAATTGTACATAATTTGCACGAATACAATAATATCACACATGTATCTGAAATCACCTGACATTCGTCAGTAAATTTGGAGACAGACAGTACTATAAACAATTTTATAGTACGTTTCCAACTTTAAAATAAATTATTCAGAACATCAGTTCCAATTTCACTCTCAGTTCTAATATCACTCGATGTTAACTGCACTTATTTTGTGCTAATTAAGCTGCAGTCTGGTCGAATTTCGTTCCCAGCTAATATTGATGGAACATTGAGTATTTAAATTAATGTGATCTATTTAATGATCTGATTGTTCACAATCTACTGTTTTCTGCAACTTTATCCGAATCACGAAGGTATGAGTTTTGTGTTTTCTATGTTGGACTCACTGACTGTATTATCTTTTATCGTTATATCTAGTATCCGGATGCAAGTACAAAACTTTATTCTCTCAGTTATATCAATTTTATGTAAGAAATACTCACTGAATGGTTGATTTCAAACTGTTTCCGTTTAAGGTTATGCGAGAAATAGGTGTAAATTTCAATGGGTTCATGGAATTCCTCACGATTTACTAAATCTTGATGAGAAATTAGAGTAATGATAATACTTGGGCTAACAAATTACCTCTTAAAACTTTCCATCATCTAAATGTTAAAATACATTTTCTGTAACAAAGGATTTAAAGCAAAAGTAATCAAAAGAACTTTGTTCTCTATCTGTAGTTCTTAACATTACTTGGTGTTTTAGGCTAGTTCAAGAATACTTGACTTGAGTTTCGTAGTTGTTGGCACTTGTTAATAGAATGAAATCTCTCTCTACCCATCCGCTAGTCCGTGTCCTTGAAGATTCTTATCATCTTTATCAACCTAGACGGCTTGGTATTTTTTTTATCTAACAATGTTACCATTAGGCTGTCCAGGCAGTAACTGATAGTCTCAGTTATGTTAGTTTATTCTAAGCCTAGGTGCTAAATGAAAATCAAATTATTCGATTGATTAATCCCTGTCACTAACATCCCAGAGGTAACCATTCGAAAAATAATATATGTGATAAAAAAAGTTTTTTGTTGTAATTAGTACGTTAATGACAATTCTAAGCCATTTATAAGTAAAATTATGACACAATACAGTGTTTCGATAGGTCTATCACTGATTAACCATTACGAAGAACTCTTTGAAACATATTTGACCCAATCAATTCATTAAATCAACTTGATGAAACAATCCAGTCATCATTTAAAACTAGATAAATATCAACTGATATCAGGGAATCATTTTATCTTGATATAGTTATGCAGATGTTGAGTTTACTAGCTACATGATAATGTTTCAATTCGCAGTACATGTTTTTGGGTAAACAAACCGTTTCTTAGTATATCAAAAGTATTTTGTTAATCAACACAACCGAGTAAAAAGCTTAGTTCACAGCTTACTTTAATTTCATCGAACATAACTCATTCTTTCTCTCTGATTTTGTTTAATAATTTATTAAACATAATAACAAATACCATAGCTTCTGACAGTTAAGACATAGATATTTAGAAGACAGGAAGATTTTGAAACAGATTTCAAAATAACACCTAGCTTACTAGATCTCCATTTTGGACAAAACAAAAATCATAGTTGAAATCATGAGTCAATTGAAGCTAGACCACCATGAAAAACCTAGTGGGAAGCAGTGACCAGTGGAGTTCAACCGAGTCTGTTATAGAGATATCAACTCACTGAAGACATTTGGTGAACGGTTGCTCAACTTCGTGGATCAGTTGAAGCTAGACATTAACACCGTTGGATACCGGCTCAGTGGTCTATCGGTTAAGTGCTCTTGCGCGAGACTTGTAGGTCCTGGGTTCGAATCTCGCGAGTGCGGGATCGTGAATGCGCACTGATGAGGAGTCCCATGGTAGGACGAAATGGTGCTTCCAGGTTTTCTATGGTGGTATAGTTTCAATCGACTCATGATTTCAACTATGAAAATACTGAATTCTCCATAAAACCCCTTCTGATCTAAAAACAAAAATCATCATACTCCAAAATATAGCTCTTTAATATTTAGAGGAATCTGAGACTAGGTACTTCGATGAAAGTTTATAATTACTGTATTTTATGCACCTAAATGACCTTCGTGACAAACTTAAAAAGATTTTTGATTAGTTGACGAAGTCTCTGAATTTATTATATATTTTTAATAATGGTCAGCCTTGTTAAGCAGATTTGGTTATTATTTATCACGGTAAAAATAAACTAATTAGGAAGAAGCTTTTTTCAATAGATCAGCACGAAATACATTTTACCTCTACTTATTGAGAATTTTGCATCAATAGTGACTAGTCTGCTTTGTAAAACGAGAAAAATATAAATTATATGAAAAACATTGTTGATTAACTCCACCAGGAGCAAATATCACTATAACAGCACAATATAATGATTTAATTAAAATCTAATATTCACTTCCCAAAACATAGTTCGAAAAAAACTTACTCCTCGATGATCATGTGGTTTGGGCATTATATATGGACCTGGTTTAAACGACCCACATTTGACAAATAAAATCTTGGCTGTGTGAGGTCTCATAGATCTGACAAATTTTAATCTAGGAATTGTCTCTCTATCATGTTCCCCAGTTGATTCTGTAATCTTATTATCATCATTGTCGTTATCCTGTTTCACAGTTTTAATTCTTTCAGGTTTTATAGATTTACGACTGTTTCTTTCAGGGGGATTCGGTTCCCACTTGTATAAACTGAAATCTGGTGCTGGTATATTCCATAAACACTTTGGAGAAGGATCTGGGAAATGTAGTTTATTAGTGCCACTTCGTCTATTAAATGAAACTTTTGCTTCAATAAATGATCGCAGTGGAAATGTGAAACAAGGGAAATCGGTTACAATAGTTTCTGACATATTTACATCATGTTAGTAAAATAACTTTTTGACACATCTGATCTATTATAACAAAACAGTAACTTCTCGAAGGGATTTAGGATGATTAAATGCTTGATCGGTTAAGTTGTCCTCAGTTAACCTTGAGTAAGTTCAATTATTTGATCAATAAACTAAACAATAGTTAAAATATTTATTTAGATTAGCTTTCAAATTAGTGAGTACTTGAAAACTCCAACTGATATTATGAAAATGAAAGATTGATTATCAGCAAGATATCGTATTTATGATAAGATGTAAATCTTTCGTTTGTCTGTTGATTCTATAAATCTTTCTATCAGATGATATTCTTGATACAATGTAAGTGAAATGTATTCCCACAAACAACATAGATGTTAGAAAACTGTGAGGAAATCAAACTCATTATTTCAATGTAACAGAAATATTTAAAAGCTTTACTTCTTTTCAGTACAGTCCTACTAAGTCCCTGTAGAGTTCCTGAGTCACCTAAAATATATATTATCATCCTTCTCATGGGCGCAGTTTCAGCTCTTTGACTGGTGGTCACTATTCATTCGGTCATGCATTATCTTATAGTTTAGATATTGTTACTAATAAAAATCTCAAGATTAACATGTAAGTTCAAGACTGAGAAGCCATGACATAACATAAAATTATGAAATCACTGATTTTTAAAATTAACCGTCACAAAATACGGAGTTTTAATGCTTCAATTCCAGTCAATAATGATTGTTTATTAGTGAAATTTTTATATTTGCTTTTGTTTAAACTTAGAATCATAGACTCATTAGTTTACTTATTTTTAGCTGAATTTTTGGGTTTCAACATGGTTTGATACTTCTAATTTGTCCACTTCATTTGTTCTTTTTGGATCATATTCGCCTTTTTTAGTTCTGACTATATCATCCATACTGTTATTTTGACTCTATTACAAATGAAATTCAGGGACCTTTTGATGGTTTGATGAAACAAAATTTTCCGATTGTAAAAGTCAATGAGTAGAATTTTGGTCAAAAAATGTACGCTATGATATCCGAGTATTATTTCAATTATTGTACATTTCAAACGATCATTGCTTTTTGTTTTAACTGTCAATACACTCTGAGGAAAAGCCATCCAAATAATTTAATGTTCAGATTTTTTTGGTTCTTATTATTGTCTTGATGAGAAAGGGTTATAAAACTTTACAAACCCTACAACGTAGCTTGAGGATCAAAGTCTGTATAAGGAGCAGATAAAATATGATGGAGGGAGTAGAGAAATTATCTTTATTACATTAGCAGCTATCAAATGAAAGAGTTGTGAGTTTTCATCAACTCCATGGACTATCAGTTGGTAATTTTTTTCCACATAGTATTGGTAGTAATCATAACCTAAGCTTTGACAGATTCAAAGGTCATTATGCATCCATGTTAATGACTTCAACAAATCGGTATGTAGCAGTAGACCTGGTCAATTCAGTTGAATATGAAGTTATGGAACAGATTTGTTATAAACGAACACATATGATAGGACGTTCGATGAGCAATAAAATCAGACTGCACGTAGCTGATAAGTTATTTTTATCCTTCTAACTGTTTTATGCATCTAGTAATTAGTCGTGATCAATACATATACGTCTCTATTCGTTCTCTGACTTTAGGTACTGCTGCTTATTACCTACCTTGTTGATCGCCTACCTGAACAATATATACTCAAATGTAAAGACTAAATCCGTCTGTAGCTGTTCCAAGGCTGTTGCCGGTTTCGAACCCGGATAAAGTAGAATGGTTGGGCATGGGATCAGCAACCCCATCTTATACAAAACCTTTCGAAAAAAACTAGCCAGAATGGACAAAATAAACCATTTAAACTCTGTCCTCTGAGTTGAAGAAAGAATTATGACGCATTATGGTGAAAGTCGAGATTCTTCAAACGTCACGAGGCTGTCGCCTTTTCCAACAACTAGAGCAACAATTAATATAGGTACATGACATGTCCGGACAATGAGAGAGACAGAGTTGACCAGCCAAATGATTACAGAAATGAAGAGATACAACTTGACGGTGTTCGGAATAAGTGAAACCCATTGTACCTAAGCTGAATAGAAAAACATAGATTCGGAAGAGATGCTATTATACTGTAGTGTAGTGCTTCGTTAATCGATCGTCTCGATAACCGTTATTATATCAATCTGAACGGTGTATAATATCAGGAGACAAAGGGAAGTGGCAACTACATTTTTTATTGACAAATAACATAGGCTAGAAGGCAGTAAGCACATGAGTAAATGTTAGCGAGCGAAGAAAAAATAACATACATGGGAGATGGCTGGTAAGCCAACTCAATTTAAGCAAGCATTAATCAACATTTATAGTCAGACTAAAATGAATGACAGACATGTGATAGGTAGGATAAGAAGGGTGCATACACATACGCTCATATAAAAAAATAGTCAAGGTCAATTAGCGAATAATTAACAAGATCAAAATATGACTCATAACGTTATAGGTGAATTGGCTTGTCCAGAAACTAGAATAAGCTATGTAGGTGTAATATAGTACACGACGTTACACTACTCCCCACAATACTGTGGTCATGAACAAGAAAATGCTCCTCACACACAGACAGTTGCTCTGATGGTGTCCGAAGAAGCACGAAATGCGCTTATAGGATGGGAATCTCGTTGATCTAGGGTCATCAAAGTCTCCTTCGAAACAAAGAAGGGGACCACAGTAAATGTCATCCAATGTTATGCACTCAGCAATCATAACAACAACGACGATGATGATCAGTTTTACGAGAGGCTGCAATCGATCAAGGTTAAGTGTTTTGGAAAAGATTTAACATTGCTGATGGGAGATGTAAACGCCAAAGTCTGAATGGATAACGACGGGTATGAAGAAATCACGGGACAACACGAACTGACCGGGAGAAAGGAAAGAGAATGGTGAGAGATTTGCAAATCCATGTGCATTCAACAAAATGGTTACAGGCGGCACAATATTTCCACACAAATTATTACCATAAGCTACATGGATCTCGCTGGACCATACCACGAAGAACCTGAAAGATTACCCATGCATCAGTGAAAATTCACAAAAAGTCATTGAAGGACGTAAGAACCAGAACTAACCAGAACTAACATAGCTTCAGACAATAATAGTAATAATAATAATTGACTGTCCTAATTACTCCACAATCCAAACAAAATAAATCGCCACACGATGCAACACCATACCTTTTTCGCTAATGGTTTGGTCTGTTGACTAATGTACATGTAATCGTCACAATAGTTATTTCATTTAATTGGTTATTTAAAGTCATGTGGTGATAAATAAATCCACAAAATCAATAGTTCTGTAAGCCTTTGACACTTGATACTGACGGCATTACTTTCAACGAGCTCACTTAACTGAAGGCTCTTGGTCAAACATCTTCATCAGATTACGAGCGTGTACACCGTGCTTCACATCCCCAACAACTGCTAGACAGCTTCGATTTATCACTACTCGATATATATCTCGAAATATATCTTCAAACCTCTTAGCTTCTAACCTCTGATTTGAATGGGTTGACATGTTTGAATAATAAAAGGTGTTGCTGGTTAATGCAATGTCAAATTTCGAACACTTGCGGGATCTTTAGTGGTGAGGCTGAGTGATGCGGTACACCAATTTGTAAACTATGAGTCTGTTACTTTTTGGAACTCTATATATCACTTTTTAAATTTACTTTCTACATATTGTGATATATTTCTAGTACTTTGGATGCATTTTTTCTCGTTCATTGCTATACTTTACTTTCACCATGGACGAACAGTTTCCTAAATTATTTAAGACTAGACTCTTCTGCCACTTTCATCCCAGTTAATGCCATTCTGGCCTGACAACACTAAAGCCTGGTTCTGCTACGCAGAATCTAAATTCCATAAGCACAACGTGTCGGATGCACGTGCACAATTCCTGGAAGTAGTGAGGGCACTACCACGTGATTTCAAAGAGCACGTCACACCTAGTATGTTTACTAGTGATGTTTCGGAACCTTATGAAACTAAAAATGGCTATTCTTGAGCTTGAATATATAGTCTATGGGTAAAAGTTAGATCAAATCTTCAACAATATCGTTCTACAACATGGCTCAGCAACAGACATCTTGCTACGAGAGCGAGAGGTCATTCTTCATCGGGCAAGGGCCCGTTTAGACAACTTTTGCAATCTAAGCTTCGCCAACCCGATGCAGGCAACGCTTGTCTCCTTTCAGAACAACTCTACGAATGAGCTACCTGTCTCTGCCGCCGAATTCCAGAACTTCTGACGCTGATGTCTATTCAGCCAAATAAAAACCGTAAACGACACCACTTGACGTCACAAAACTGTGTCATAATCTGACACACCACCTTCGTATTCGTCATGACCGTAGACTATCCCGAAATCCTAGAAGGAATACTTCACAAAAAAGATCTGTCTCAAGATCACGAGAGATGGATAACTCTGAATGTTGCTAGTGTCCTCTCTAAACTACAGAAAACCCTACAATTTTCCTGTCTCCGAACCAAGCGACGTCAAAAAAGTTTCCAGAAATTTCCCAGCTGACACGAGTTAACGGCAACCGTAGCCGGCGAACACATCTATTTGTTATACATCTCCGGTGCGATTACGAAAGTTCTCTACCTCATCAACACTGACGTAGAACTTAGCGTTTTTTGGCAAATTCTAACAAGCATGCGCATCCGAATGAGAGGGTCCCGAACTAGTGCGTAATTCTCACTTCGGTTACGTAGTTAGAAAGATATCAAGCACTCCAAAAGAACCGATTTCAGTGACCAGTAAGTTAAGCTGTCCCTGAAGCATTCTTAAATTTTCTGGGCCAAGGATAGATGTTCCACATTCGTTGATGAGGTACTCACAATTAAAGCTTGAATATTTATTTTCCACAGCGAACAAATAACAAAACCCAGGAACAGAAGGTTTATGATCTGCAACTTTGATAAGTTTATTTACGGCATTGGGATTTGGTGGCTTAAACTTTACAAATCAAATGATGGACTTGATGTTGTCAGTTTCAACAACGGAATCGTGAAAAGCACCATTGTACAAATATAGTCATTTTTGAATATTGAACGAACCACTGGAAGTAGCAAAAAAGGATAATGTATAATTATTAGAATCACTCAAATTAATAAGATCCTTATAAAAAGTTTAGCGCTCACTTATGTAACCTTCTATGCAGTTCTGTGTTGAATCATTTTTCACAGCGAAAACCGACACGATTCAAGAACAATCAACAATTAATAATAATAATAATAATAATAATAATAATAAGGACAGGAGAATATATAACTCATCTAACACGTGTCAGACTATCTACTAGTCTGACTAAGTAAACAATCAATCATTATCATTCTCGCCCACTCATCAAAAGCAGTTGTAAAATCTGATTAACCTCTTCGTATTAGTGAGGCGAAAATGTAAGTCTTTAAAGTGATATATGTAATGATTACTTGGCATGAGTATTGACCAGAAACCATCTCCCGTGATTGCACGCAGGTCACGGATGACCATGAAAACTACAACACACATATCTGTGCCTTTCGGATATGATTCTGGTTTATTTTCTGGAATGTAATGATTTAGTTACCTATATATTGAATCTGGGAAGGTAATATTTGTAGCTCAGCAGTAGTTTTGGTGGTAAATAAATAAATCCCTCAGATAAATGGTTCTGTACAACTTCGACACTGTCATTGATCTCGTTCATCTACTGAACAGAACCTAGCCGAAGCTGCCTGGTCACATATACGCACCAGATCACGAGTGTGTACACCGCGCTACACATCCCTTGCAACTAATGGCCAGCTTAGATTAAACGCTTCTCGACATATAGATAGCTTCACAAACATATCTTTGAACCCCTTCATTTCTGACTCCTGGTTTGACTGAGTTGGCGTACATTGATTATAGATACGATACGTGTAAATGCCTTGTCATATCCTGAACATTTGTGGTTGTCATCAATCAAAACTTATTTACCATAATGACCCCCTTCCGAGCATTGGATGCTAAGTGCGGAGAGAGCAAAGCTAATATCTTTATTATTTCTCATTTTTACAAAACCGATTTTACACATGAGGTGTTCAGATGGTCGTTTATGTATTGCCCCGAATATTTTGGAAATCTTAGATGGGCTACTTCTTGTACTTCAAGAAGTAAGTATAATATGATGCTTATCAGGATTTTAAAGTGAAAATTACGAGTAAAATGATTCTTCCACGTTTTTTGATGTTAAATTCTGACGCTTGTTTGGATATCTTCTTTACAGAGGCGCCTAGTTTGAGCCCTCAAGTTCTAATGGTAGATTTAGTATGAAACATCACTTGGACTCTTATAAGCTAACGGAGGATGAGAAGAAGGTAAACAAGCCCTTTCTTTACATTTTCTCGTCAGTTTTTTCGCTTTTCAACGTATTTCGTCGCGTTGTTTCTAGTGCGTAGGCTTTTAAATGTTTTTTTCCAGGTTTCTATTACCTATTAGTTTACATATTTCGTATGTTTTTATTCTTCTAAACATCACTCCCGTGTTTTTAGATTACTAGACAGTAAGTTTTATTTTCAGGCCAAGATTTGCAGGTGATTAAGGCAAGTAGAACTACCGTCAGTGGGCGACTTGTTAAATTGTCTTAATACTCAAAGGATTTGACCCAATAGTTCGCAGGCACGGGTCATAATTTACTTGCAGCTTCGAAAACCGGTCACTCACGAATCCGTACAAACAACATGGTTCGAAGTCAAATGCATAAATATATACTTGGTGAATGGGTTACATAAACACCACTGCTTAGGTTTAGTCGTCAGTCTTCAGTAATAAGGATAGAAGGTCTAGTGACCTATTTTAATCCTTGCAGTTTGTTACACTGTGGAGGTCCAATCTCGTCTTGAATATATCAACAGAAGGTGCTGATATTACGTGTTCTGGTAGAGAATTCCAGTAATTCACTACTCGGTGCGAGAAACGAAACTCCAGACGTAGACGATTTGATCTCGGTTTTTGGACTTTCTTTGAATGTCCTCTCAAATGCTCAGCCCTAGACGGGAGGAAAAGATAGGACATGTTAGTATCAAGGTCATCGTTCAGGATTCGATATGCCAATATTAGATCACCCCGTATTCGCCGGTAAGATAACGGAAATAAGTTGAGGTGTCTCAGTCTGTCTTCATAAGATAGGCTAGATAAGCCTTTTACCATTTTTGTCCCGCGGCGTTGGACTCGTTCCAACATATCCGCCTCATATTTGAAACAAGGACTCGGTGCTTGAATCCCATATTCCAAATGTGGCCGTACGAAAGTTGGGTATAATAATCTAAACATTTCCCCATCCAGATACCGGAAAGATCTACGAATAGACCATAATGCCCTATAGCCTTTTGCAGCAGCAGCCTTACAGTGACTGGTTGTTTTGAGATCATTACTTAGTATGACTCCTAAATCTTTATAGTTTCTTACTTTGGGCAACACTAGTCCACATAATGTGTAGTGATACGAATCATCGTAGTTGTTTAATTGCATCACAACACTTTTATTAGGGTTTACTTCTAGTGACCACCCATTCATCCATGCAACTAGTGAATTAAGATCTTCCTGTAAAACTATTCTGTCTGACATACTATATATGGGTCTCCAAATCTTAATGTCATCGGCGAATAGTAGGACGGATGACTTAGCTATAGCTGGTAATTCATTTATATAAAGTAAAAAGAGAAGAGGACCTAAAATCATGCCTTGGGGGACGCCACTTTTTACTGGTTCCCACGATGAGAGAGCCCCATTTACTCTTACCCGTTGTCTCCTTTCATGAAGAAAGCCACTTAGCCAGTCTATGACTGCATAATGAATTCCAAAACTTTCTAGTTTCAATTTAAGACCAGAATGGGAAACCTTATCAAAGGCTTTACTTAGATCTATGAAAATGACATCTACAGGAATATTGCGATCTTTTGCCTCAGCCCAATCTTCTCTTGCAATGAGAAGATTTGTCAAACATGATAGACCTTTTCGAAAACCATGTTGTTCCTTTGACAAAAGATCATGTCTTTCCACGTAGTTTATAACAGCCATCCTAATAATTTTTTCCATTAGTTTTACAACTGCACTAGTTAAGCTGACGGGTCGATAGTTGCTAACTAAATCCCTACCCCCAGTCTTATACACCGGACTGGTTATTGCGTCCTTCCAGTCTCTGGGCAATCTGGACTGCCGTAGGGACATATCGAACAGCATCGCTAAGGGTTCAGCAACAACATCTGAGAGGGCTTTCATAATCCGAGGATGAATATCATCAGGACCACTAGACTTATCAGGTTTGAGATGCTGGAGTAGGCTTAAAACAGTTTCTTTCTTAATAACTACAGGGTCCATCAACAAGTCGCCACAATCACAATGAATAGGTGATCGTTCCTCATTATTGGTAGAAAAAACTTTACTGAAATATTCCGAAAAAGCTTCCGCTCTTTCGGTATCATTTCTTGCCAAACTTAACGGATTTTCTTGTATCAAAAGTGATGGTATTCCATCACTTCTCTGAGTTCGCCTCTTTATATACGAGAATAACCGTTTTGGACTATGTTTGCAATCCCTAACCAATTGTTTTTCGTATGACCGTCTAGTTCTACTAATTAACGCTTTACAATTATTTCTAATCTTACGATAACTAGATCTGTACTGTTCTAAGCCAGTAGAGATGAACATGTTCCAGTGTTTTTTTTCTACACCTAAGGAGTTTCTTAACTTCTTTATTTATCCACGGTGGACTATTGTTCGGTCTACGTGGCACCAAGTATGGTATGAACGGGAACGTGACTGCACTAAACTTGCCTTTAAATACAGACCACGCCTCATCAACTGATGAGCTAGTATCTACTGACCAATCTATCTTAGTAGCACAATCCTGAATTTCTGGTATGTTAGCTCTCCATATGTTTGGGCGAGGCTTAATCTGATCGTATATCATATCGCTAGCTCTAAACGTGAATGATAAAACAGCGTGATCGCTATTTACTAACGGGGGAAGAATATTTAGGTTGGCAATATCCTCAGTCTCATGAGTAATTACCAAGTCCAACAGAGAAGAACCTTGGTTTACACCAAAACGTGTAGGTTTGGATACATGTTGTACTAGTGCATGTTCCATTACTGTTTCCAAGAGCCTGCTATCAAATGAGTTTATAGAGCATTTCGTGGTCATCTCAGTCCAACTAATGTCAGGTGCATTAAAGTCTCCTAATATCAAGCATCTGTTATTTGCACTCCATAGCCGAATGTGCTCTAAAATAAAGTCATCAGCTAAGCAGATTGGGCTGCGATAGATGACACCGAGTGCAAATGTACAACATCCGACAGTGAGTTCACAGCTAATGGCTTCACTAGTTCCACTATCATGGGATTCGCAAACGGAGGAGCGGATATTTATACTATTGGCTATGTATAGAAGGACGCCACCTCCTTTCCTGCATCTATGTCTATCACTTCTTAAACAATGATATCCGGATAATTCTGGGGTGATATCGAAGTCATGGACTAACCAAGTTTCCGCCACAGCTACAATGAGTGGCCTTAATTTGTCCACTAATGTTCCCAGCTCGTAGAATTTATGTTTTAGACTACGGGCGTTGGCATATAAAACTCCTAGGGGGAACGACCTATCCACACAGGCCTTGGTAGCATTAGCTTCCAAGACCTGACTATTCGAAAACCCACCAATCGGAGATTTTCTTCACCGTTTTGTCGACGGGTTTCTAGTTCAGCTAGTGCCGTCTTCCTTTTTATTCTATCTTCAAGAGATACATCCGGTCGCATTCGAATATCAGAGTTGTCGTGACTTCGAGCGTTACTTAACAGAAGATTACGTTGTTTCTCCGACCCTAAGATTACCTTAAGGAGTCTACACGGTCGGGGTAGAACACTGTCATCGGCTCTTTTACCTATTCTAACTAATTTTTTGACCTGAACACCTTTAGTGTTATCTGGTAATATGCTACGGATATATTCTCCGAGCCTCTCTAAGTCATGGGTGTGTCTAACCTTAGGATCTGGATCGTTAGACTCTGGCAATTTACTCACAATAATATTCGATGATATTAAATTCCTCTCAGTCGCACTAGGATGATGATCTGCCGTTCTATCAGAGTGCGATAATGCATTGAGTGACTCAGACTGTGAGTTCCTCAATGGCTTGTCAACCAAGTGTGCTTTATCATTAGCTTTTTTTCCTTTCCTTTTCCTCTTTACTGCGGTCCATTTTTGGTCATTCAGGACAGCTGCATTGGGACTATTGGGGACGGTGACGGTTTTATCCGGGTCCTCAATTTCTACTAAAGATACATGATTACTCATGTCAATACCATGTGGTGATTTACTCCTCGTTGGTTGTAACGGAAGTTTCACTTCGTCATTAATTAGAGTAGGTTGTTCAGCGCGTTTTGTAACAGCACTTACAACACTAACACAGTCTTCACTGTCAGTGCTTGCGTTACTAGCGCACCCACTATCTTTCTTTTTACAGGCTAGAGCCAATAGGCTCATAGCCTCTTGAATTAATGTCGTCTTGTTAGTACAGCAGAACATACAAAGCCAGTGCGAGTTAGGCTTAGAACATCTTTTGTATGCAGCTGGACTGAGACGGGTACACACCTTGTGGTACCATTTTTTGCATTCATCGCACTGCATCCCTTCATCTACGGGGAATAAACAGTTCGGCTGTCCACATTTGAATGAACTACCAACCATTGTAATCAGATTAGGTTTAAAAAACAATATGATCACAATAATAGCACAAGCGTCAGAGTATATGCAAAAGAAGGAACCAAGAGACAAAGTTTTCAATAAAATTTCAAACCTTAACTAGATTAATTCAAGTTAAAGTAGACCAAGAATGCTTTTGATACAGCAAATACACAAAAGCAACGATAATCACAACAAGTATGAAAGTCACTGCCGTTTTTGAAACGCGTGCGATTCTTTTACTTGGGTATATAGATACTTATCATGCACTGTCTATGTTGGGATTCTGCCAGAAACTGGGTCATAGGGACTAATGTAATGGTTTAGATGAGCTATCAGTCGACCATCGTTTTGGTGTCAATTAAAGACATGTCCTTAGCATCGCCTTATTGTTCTGAGATTACCGTAGTTCGCTCTTCTTAAGGTTTAGCAAGTTAGTTCATTGCCTGTCATTTAGTTGTGTGTCTTCTACGTTGGGATCTGTGTGCTTATCCATTTTTATTTAGTAGCCCATCTATTGTTTCCATCGTATTTAGGATGTTTAGGTAATTGCATGAACTGCCGGCATTTTGATATCCCATTTCTGATAAGTTTCGTACATTTTACTTTATCTTATATTTTGAATTTCTTTGCGTTTTATGTACCACCGTACTTGCGGTTCACTGAATTATCGTGAATTTCAGACAAAGCTTTTGACTGTACTATCTTTACATCTACATTGGTTCAATTCTTTGCACTATTTTATCTCCATTCTCTGTATGCTTTTATTTTTCCACGTCTGTCTCTTTTCTGTTAAATATTCTGTCTTGTCTAAACGGTCTCAAGCTGATGAATGGTTAGTTTTATGAATACCATTGCCAAATCAAATGTATTTTTTCGAAATCTATGTGCAGTATTTGCACTTTTCTTCAATCTCCGCACTCTAATTCAAATGAAAAAACATGTAGTTTTGAATATCTTTAGAAAGTCTTAACGTCAATATGTGATCTATACTTGAGACTTGTGTTCAAAAATTTAATGAAGTACTACTAATCGGTTTTCTATCTGCCTGTTTAACAACATTGAAAAACAGGAAGTGTTTCATTATCTTGAAATTAAGTGATCATCTCGTTCTTTCAAAAGGGTTTACGTAATTCACGCAACAATTTTCGGGTGAAATTTTACTTTCGATTGCTTCCCAACTATTGTCTTCCAACGTACTTTGCAGATCGTACAAAAACTCGCAAAATGACCCTCAGGGAGCAAACGTACTTTCAAACCATATGTGTATTGATCACATTTCGCTCCTTCAAATACAGTAACACCATTACACTTATTTCAGCCTAACAATCGTGTGTTTCTTGATACTAGTCATGTCTTCGATCCGGTGGGCTAAGAACTGTCCTCTGGAATTTTCTACAGAAGGGTGTACCTGCGAAGTTTGTTTACATCTTGCTTAACGAATGTCACATTAGATACGAGTCGGAATAGTACCCAGTGGCAGTCTTATCATGTGGATCAGCGACTCAGTAATTAAGGTGGTTGATTTCTAAACACCGTACCACAAGTTCGAACCTTGCTCCACCTACCTAGGCTATGGAAGCTGGTTGTCTACACCAAAGTAGATAAGACGGGGTTCGAACCTGCATGTTTGCCAAAAATGGACCGTTCCTACCACTGGACCACCTCTCCACAAAACCTGTTTTGTTCTAGCATGGGTCTTAAAATTTGGATCCTCAACCTCACCTTCAGGTCTGTCGGCTAAAACTTAAGCTTCAGATCAGTTAGTTATGTTTCATGTTATGCCCTGTATGTAGCACCGTCAGTCAGTGAGCTACAATGTAGGACCAGGCACGTATATGCATCGGCCCAAGTTGTCACACCTCATTAGTACAGCAAAATGAACACCGAATCCATAGTAGTTACTTCAGTGGTATTAATATATAAAATAAAGATTGTGTATAAGAACATAGTACAGTAAGAATTTGTTTTGTAGAAAGAAAGATATAAAGCAATTTTAATCTCACAGTTTAAGGGAAGACTAAGAGTGTATACACCATTGTGACCGTCACTGCTACCTTGATGTGGTGGTTGGGATTACCTATTGTAATAAACCAACCGAATTATACTGACTGGAACAATCGTTCCCCAAGGTCCTACCATGCCAGACAGGTCAGTTGAAGAGCGGTAAGATTAAAAGCTGCAAACCCAAGGTCCCAAGACGAAGTCGTAATGCTCACTGCACAGAGTTGTGATGGCAGTAAAGTGTTTTCTTCAGACAAGCATAACAGCGATGTTGCCTTCCCACAAGGAGGGGTGGGGTAATAACAGGTTGACCCTAAAAATGCACACCTCGCCTTATTCCACAGATATCCGTTTCTGGCAGTAAGGTCTCAATAAGTAAGGAGCTAGCACTAAAGCTACTCACAAAATGGTCGTGTGTGACCGGCCGCAAGCAGTTGTCCCATGTGCACTGCGATCACGCTCTCAGATCACTAAGACCACTTCTAACCCAATTCCGTTTTCAGGTACCTCTAGAAGAACCCTTCCACGGTTTGGGCAACCGGGACGAGTTAACCGCCCTTGTACCTATAACAACACTCAAGATTACTAAATTCACAATCAATCTCCCTCTTCAACCTCTAATATTCCTCTTGCATGGACTTTCAACTCCAAACCTCTTTTTTTGGTTTCCTCCTTAAGTGTCACCATGGCCAACGATTCTAGTGAGCAAAACACTGTCCCAGGCCATGTAGCAACGGGATGATATCCATATTATGGTGTTTTAAATATTCCGTCTGTAAGATCTACTATCACCTGCAATCATTTCAGATATATGTGAAACTGTCATCTGGTTATCGTACGAAACTTCAGAGTGGTAAATAAATCAGTATAAACGCTTACCTTTTTTCATATCTATACCAATATTACTTCTACGTTATTATTATTTTTCTTTCTGAACTTTAAATTTATGCTTAGTTTTTCCTCCAAAACTTTGGTATTAAAGGTATTTTTCCTTTTCTCTTTTAGAAAATTGAAGAATTTCTTTCACTTATTCAAAACTCTCAAAGTTCTCCTGAATATCATCAGTTAGCCTTTAATATTTTAGCTGCACGCAAGTTTTCTGTCCCACAGGCTATGGAGTTGTATCATAATTATCAAGTATGTTTTGTATTCTTTTAGTACTCATCTAATTGATGTAGACATTTTTGGCCAGTGAACAGATCACTCGTGTTGATCCCTTCGAAGAGGATGTCAGACGTGAACTATTGTCAGGAAAATTTGTTATTCTCGTAATCACAATTCAAATTTACTAATTTTTTCCTAAACAGAATGACAATGACATACCTGGTGTTCGTGTGGCTCAGTTTTTTGTCAGATTACATCGAAAATCAGGAAATCATCGGGCTTTGTTGCACAGTATTATTTTTCAGCTGGATGCTGCATTGAGGAGGTGAACTAACTTAATTTTTACAACATACGAGTTAAAGGCACACATATGTTGACCATTTTTAACATCCATAAGTTTATTGAGTATCCACTTCTGAGAATAGTACTAATTTCTTAATTTAAGATTGTCGGTTTATCAGCTTGTTAATTTAAACGGTATATCTTACTGGTTTGAAAATGTCCTACTTGAATTTCGCCATTTTAAGAATTTCTATAATGGCTAGTGACACATCATGATAACGTAAGAATCTCAAAATAATCGATTTTGGGAAGTGATCATATAATTGTTAGTGTTTCACCACAGTGAAAGTAACGTTTTTTGGCGTAGACGGTGCATTTCTTTATGTATAAAATTAGTAATTTATTAAGTGGAGTAGCGTGGATAATAAGCGTTATTGGTCATCGTAATGTCAGGAATATGTAAATGATCAATACTTCCTTGTGGCGCATACAGTAAAGGTTAGTTTTCCTCAAGTATACAGTCGTTTTCTATTAATTGACTATCGGAGTCAAAAGAGATCTGTTTGTTAACTGACTTCAATTACGATAATGTGATATTGTAGCGTGAAACGTAATTTGCAAATTTTTGAAACAACCTTTTTTAATTTGCTCTTTGAAGAAAGACTATTATCTCAAATGATCATTTAAGGGAAAATTATCATCACTCCCAATCTTTAGCAAGACCAAATTCATATCATATTATAACTATTCGCAATGGTACAGTTATTCTTTTGGTGTTTTATCCATACAGTCTATCTTCAAGAAATAGGCATTCTAGCTAATATATAGTCAATTATATCTAGGCGAATTTCATAATACACGTCAGTTTATACGCCTTCTAGTTTGCCTCATCAAGATATTTACCTTATGTATAAAGATCACATGGATATGGAAACATTTTTTTCTGAAGTATTGGTGTAAAGTATAATCTGTTTCATCTGTAAATATGCAGTTGATGTCTTACTACATCTGTTTTATAACTTTATCGGAAATCCAGACACTTAGCACATTGAGATTACCAAACCTGGTCATGAGGGGAATATGAAAGGAAGATAATTGAAATGAAGATAATTGCCGTCTACTAACTAAACTATTGCTAAGTCTACATTAAGCAAAAAGAAATATGATGCAGTTGATTTTCCTCGTGTAAAGATTTGGATATGCTGTATTTGTAAACAAAGTTATATGGGTGTGCATTTCGAAATTGTGATAAGTATTTTCGTTATTATGTTTAACAAACAAATTTCAAAATAATTTAAATAGTATTTTATATTTACTGTAGTTCTGCTTTTATTATACTAGCAGTCAAAAAATGCAAAGCGATCTAATTGATCATTTGTTATTGTAATGGTTTCATTAGTTGCAGTTCTAAGTTCCACATATGATTTTTAGTTACAGTACATTTAATTTATAAATATTTTTATTCCCAACTACTCGGTTAATATTCGAATAATAACCTCAATCATTGGTTGGAAACAGTAAGTGACATGGCTCGGAATCATTCACATTAGTGCATAGGCATGAACTCCTTACCCTATTCTCTATTTATAATCTGAGTATTCCTTCATACATACTTTTCCATTCTTTTTTTTGAGGAGATCATGTTCTTAACGTTTAGTCTTTCTTGTTATCATTGACACAACAATTATTTTATCAATCTTGTCAATTCCATCTCGTCGTGCTAATGTAGTATGGTAACTTGATCCGATGCATATTTTTATTATGCTCTACGTTGTTTATAACGGATTAACTAACCTTCGATTTTAGTTTTTGAAAGTTTTATGTACAAGTATTTCATTGTCACTAAACAACATTTTTTTGTCTTTGGTATGTATAGAGAAACAGCTGCTAGAAATGGTCTAGTATTCATTTTTGATATGACCGATTCAAAATATTCCAATTTCGATTATACATTTTCATGCAAGTTATTCAAGATGTTACGAGTGAGTTTTCTTTTGTTTGTTAGGAATAACTTCATTAGTTAATTAGTGTGTCTTTTTTATTGCGTCATATGTATGTACACGTATCGTGTTCTCATCATACTTGTTCTTCTTTTTGTATGCAAAATGATTCCAGTTTATGCTTAATATAAAGCATTGTATATGTTAGTCTTGAGATTATATGCTGTTAAAATGTCTGTAATTAGTGACAAACTGATAAGCAAAAGACATTTAGCGCCTTCGAAGACTTATTTATGAATCTATTAAATTACCTTTGTATACATGTGAGTTGAAGCTAACACTAAAGACATTTTGGACATGTTTCATATTACCCGAAATTACTCATCCTTTTATGTTTTTCTGGATTTTCCTATCCCCATTACTTATTATGTTCTTTTTCGCAACGTTTTCACGCAAAGCATGTAATATAGATTATTTTCCAAGTACAAACTATTGTGCTTGATTCTAAGATAGCTCTTCTCTTGTGTAGGCGTTTGTAATACCAAACGGCTTCCGAAACCGAAGTAGTCTAATGAAGAACCGTACATAGTTTGATGTACTTTGCCTCCTCTGGGTTTTACATTAGCTTTGGATTATAAAGGAAACTAATATTTGGTCTCTGTATCAATCAGTCTAATTCCTCTGTAGTTATCACAATATTCCTATGTTACTTCACAAATTGTTATGATCTGCGATTGAGATTAGTTTGATGGGATTATTTCCACATCTCAGGCTTTCCCTAGTTTCTCGGTCAATCTTACTGATAATAAAGTATCGTCACGTTTCTGAAATAAACTCGGACCTCCTAGTCCTTTTACTTAATGAAAGTGGGTTGTAACGTTCTCGACTGCTGTAAGAGTTGGAGGACAGTTTTTAACCAAACATTTACGCTGTTACAGGGTGGTAGACAACTGTAGAATAGCTGAAGGCAGTTTTCGTTTCTACACTCATCGTTTTGGTTGCCTTTTTCGACAGTGGATTTCTGTTCTGTCCAACGACTGCCCGTTAAACTGTCTTTTAAAAGAGTTTAAACAACTGTTTAATAGTGATTATCATCACTGCCTTCTCTCTTGCTTTGATTGCGGGTTACTACTTAATCTTATTGTGTGGATTTTTCGTCAAACTGGGTTTAAGTTTCCTCCATCCATTATTTATTATGTTCTTAGGTAATTTAGATTCCCGAGCGCCCATCAATTAAGTTAACTACAAACATGCACTGATCACCATTGGTCTTTAGACGTAGGCTGCTAACAGTTTTTGTATACTATGCCAAGCTAGATGTACATCCTTTCTATGTTGCTCTGGATGTTTGGCTCGTACCATAAATATATCGCGGACTCTTCATAATAAAAATGAGCTTAAAGAGATCTTCATGTTTTTGTTTTCTATACTCAGCAAAATAAAGATAAACAAGTGCTCTCACCATAATTTAATCAAGGTGTAGATATGATTCTGATGAAGCTCCAGACTTCTATCTAGCCTCTCCAACAATGTCTGGTGGCAATATATTTTATTTGTGTCCATTATTTAGTTTTTTGGAATAGCTGGACTAAAGTTACCCTTTTATGGCTAAATCTGGTATTCGTTAGGGATAAACAGCTTTCTGGGCTTAGTTATGACAGATAGTCATAGTTATCTATTCACGTGGCTGTAATGCTAAAATTATACAACGGATGTTTAATTCGGGTCATGGTATTACATATAATGGAATGTGTGCATGATTAGTGTTTAACTCAGAAGTAAAGAGACAAAAAAATCGAAGTTGATCTATTTAATTTGTGGTAGATTCGAGTTGAACGGCTTCGTCGTATTCTCATTTCATGAGAAAATGTAGAAGCTGAATTTATAGAGGACTGGATGATGAACGCTAAGAGATAGTTTTAGCTTTGATCGTAAAGCGTTTAATTGTTCGTTCAAATTATCTTTAAGGTTTACAGACTTTACCTTAATAGCAATCCACAATTAATGATACTTACACTCATACTGTTTAACGTCTTATACCACATTTTTCTGTACGGTAGATAAGCGTTACAACTTTGAATACTTTTTAAGACATTTCATTGTTAATATGTCTATCTCCATAAAGCCATATTTGCAGTCATCTTCGAGTTTAAAAATAAGGCAACCTACAAAGCATTGTTCGACTTACAGAATATTTTGATTAAAAGCGTATTAATGCCAACTTTGCTCTTTATTCGTCTATTGCTAGAATAGTCACCAATTGATGATCAGTAAATTTCAGTGGATTTTAAACTCATAAGTCGAAATCGGGCACTTTGATTGTTTCACTTGAAGACTACTAGTTTACAGAATCATTTTTTAAATTAATTTTCTGGAACTACAAATGGATGACTGCGTAATTCCGTTTAATATATATCTTCGTCAACATGGGGTGTTGGAGATTGTCGAATCTCATTGAAACCATGAAGCGATCTAAGTTAGACCACCATTGGAAAAATGGATGCATTAGACGACTGTTTAGTTCTAGTGTGGGACTCCTTAACACTGCATGTCCACAGCCTTGCACTTGGGAGTCGAAGCCAGGACCTTCAGTTTTATGTGCAAATGCCCAACCTCTAAACCACTGAGCCTGTACCCAACAGTGTTATTGTACAAAGTTAATCAATCCACGACATTACACGACCATCTTTCATTCTCTTCAGTGGGTAACTACCTTACATCTAACACGGTTTAATCTCACTGGAACGACCGTTCATGGCTTCCAGGTTACCAAATGACGGTATAACTCAGATCAGTCCACGATTTCAGTGTAATATTTGTCTTTTAATCAATATATTTGTTTTTAGAAGCCTTAATCTGAGTAACTTAATGGAGGTCGACTTGAAGATACGTCTTACATATTTAGACTGGACGTATTCAATTGAAATTCACTACTTTATTAACGCTGAAGACGTTTACTCTTTGTTTTTATCATGTTTTTTTATATAAAGTCCTCCTATCCTGTACGTCTTCGGCGTGTTCTAATCTTAACTGCTCCTCTCTGGTTTCGTGCTCCTTTCTTATTAATGCGAGTGTTTATTCGTGAATTATTTCAAGATTGTGTATATGTACTCCGTCCTTCACCGGGAACCAAATTGGAAGCACTTAGCCATCCTGATCCCGTTATTTTAAAACGTGATCATTATGCTTGGCTTCAAACTGCTCTATTGAGGACTGGGTGGTTATTGACTGAAGCAGAACAGGTGTGTTGTGTATCTTATATCTACGTTATCATAACACTGTATATTATATAACAGAATTTTCTATTGCTTTTTAAAACTTCGATAAAAAGCTGAATTTTTACTTTCACACGTAAAAGGATGTATTGTAAGTAATATTATAATCAATGAAAAGACTTCAGTTATCTGTCTAGCTAAGTTTTATTTCCTTTAATACATGCAAAACTTACCTTTCCTGAATACATGTAAATTATGTAGCGTCTAATTATCAGTATGGGGTTTTGTGGGAGTTACAGAATTCCGATGGTTTTTAAATCACGAAGTGATCTTACTTAGACCTCCGTAAGAACCAGGATGCACTGGAAATCTATTTCATCCTAGTATGGGACTCAGAAGTGGCCATCCACAACTCTGCAGTTAGGAATGGAACCCAGGATCTCCGGTCTTGTGCCCGAACTCTGAGCTGGCTTCCGATGGTGCTTTTGTCTAACTTCGATCTAGTCACGATATTGTGTGGCCATCTAAAGCCTAACTGACTGATCAGTCTGCATACAAAAATATCTGTGAAAGTATCCCATTCACTTGAGTTATTACACACCATTCAGTATCTGTCCAAATAAATGAAGACTAAATTAAGATAGATATATAGTTCTTATTTTTGAACACCAATATTTTTTATGTATGGTTTCTATTCAAACAGCAATCAGTCTCTGAAACTTCTCTCGATTCTTTGATGCTGTCGATCTGTAGCACTTTTCTCGTCTTCTTGATCTCAGCATTGTGAATTTACTGAGTCAGCATACCAAATGCTCAAAACTTTTGAAGTCATTAAAAGTGCATAATCTCATTATTACTATCAGATGTGTTATAATGTATGGGTGCCTGTTTGATATATCGATTGCTTGCGTGTGCCCTCTTAATATATATGAACGTGCAATGATACTTGAGATCGTACGAGCAGTCTTGAGTGCGTATCGGCCCTGCTACTGCCTAGCCCAGCCAGTTAAGTTCAGAACACAGATAACAACCTCGGCAATTTGAATCATTATTTACAAACACACTGGGTTTTTATACAAACCAAAGTAATCAATAAACTGATTATAACTCAAGAATCGTATGATAATAAGTCAAAGTTCAAAATAAAGCTAATGATAAGAGAAATACGAATATGAATAGTTCAGTTACGTAATAATTGTACAATAGGAAATAGGCATATTACATTGATCCATAAATAGACCTAAAAGTTACCATTCGTAATTCACCGGGGGATATAACAAGATGAAAATATGAAAAAGCTTGGTATCGATACAACATATTAGCTACACTTGAATCTTGGTAATATTATTACTGAGGTTGCAAAGCGAAATACATATACTGACATCTTTATTCCATGTTAGTATGTAAGGAGTGGTAGTTTAATAGTTATATTGTTCGGCTTTCGTCCACCAAGCCTCAGGTTTGAGCCCCATCCCACCTACTTCGGTTCGTTCAACTGAGCAGTATCATTAACCCTTACATTTAGTGTATGGCTCATGCTCAAGTACTCAGTAAATGAATTCACTTAATTTTAAGTTAATATTCTTTATAATCTTTTTTATAGGCAGCACTTCCTATTGATCATCGTAATCAAACAGTTGGTGCATTTTTTGGTCCACCTTCAGAATCTACCGGATCATTATCGGATTCTAGTGATTCTGAATTTCGTGAGGATGATGATTGTTTCTCCAATAATCAACTAGATGATGTTACTGTCGATGATGATTTAATTAGTGTTGGTGATTTAGATCCATTTTCTTTGACTAGTTCATATTCTGGTGAAGCTGAAAGTTCAGATTTAGAAGAATGTACATCGGATGTGATAATGAAAACATTCTCATCATCCAACTTAGAAAAAATGAATGATAGTGTTAGTTTTTATGCATACTATATAATTTTATTTGATTTATAACTCATTGTCAATTAGTCAATCATGACACAACATGCTATATGACCTGATAAAAAATATATATATTACCTTAAGTATATATTATATTTAGCTTCAAGACGTAGGTATGACGGCTGGTTAATTCACATCGGTTGTTCAGACTGAAGTAGGTGAAACGGGGCTTCTTTTTAGTACGGCTTATTTTCCTAGTATAAACACGTTTATGTGCTAAGTGGTTGTAGTTAAAAGCTGATCAGCTTAAGATACCTTCAATATTGTAGGAATCAATGTTTGATATGGGACTCAGACTCTCATCTCCCAGCTTCATTGTCCGAGATGTTAACGTTGACCTATTCAAACGATAAATAATCTCCTGTAGGATACCAATATTTACATTTAATTGATAATTGAGTAGTTATCACTGTCATATTTGTCTAATCATTTAGTACTTACCAAATTCTATTAATCAAGTTACTATGTCGCCACTAGTTAATTGACCGGACATTGTGTACAATATGTTGAGATGTTAAGTAGTTGGAAGTAATGGGATATTAATCCTGCTTGGCCTATGTCTTATACTAATTGGCGCCTGTCGGTAAGGCGTACCTGGACTCCTAAGGAAACTGATGATCCCCGTGGGAGATAGAATTTGACCAGAACTAAAAGACTAGACAAAAATGACAGGTTTATTCACTATTCAATGACGAGTCAGTATTACATAATATGTAGTCAGCTTTCAGGCCTGGTGATACTAATAACTGGTTCTTAAAATCGAATTGAGTATAGCAGATTTCGAATCTGAGACAATTATTATAGTCCATGAATGCTCTAATCACTAAGTTGCTAACCTGTTGATGTAAAATATTTCGCCTACTTAGCGCTACTACTATATTAAATTAAAACGAGAACAAAACACCTGTCACTTAATCATGTACATCGGTAGAACCAAGCAATTTAAAATTTATTAACTGTCTTCCTACTTGATAAGCTATATTCTATTCATGTACTGATTATTGATCAAGTTCATTGTTACCATCATCATTATTAGTACAAATTTTCTTTGGTCACTCACTTTTTCTCTCTCCCTCGATATGACGGCACGAGGGTGGTACATTGATATGCTTTTTGTGCTGTTCACTTCGGAATATTTATGATTCTTTTTTAAATTTAAATGGTTTCCATCATAGAGAGAAAAGTGGTTACATAAGGAACAGTAGGTAAATGTATTAGTGAATTTTGTCTACTGTAAACACGATAACACCAGCACTGATAACTGTAATAGTAATAGTAATAATAATAATAGCAATAATAATAATAGTATTGGCGACTGTCTGATAACTAAAGCAATTTAAACAACCATAACCGATTTTATCCAACCAACCAATCAATCACCCGTGCAAGATAGGTGAAACTGTGCATGTAACACTAGTATATATATATATATATATATATATATATATATATATATATATATATATATATATTCTGTTCCATTTGGTTTTAGAACAAGTTTCCACTGCATACTCCTCTTATCTGTAAATATTTGTTTATACACAGTTGCTGCTGTGTGTTCACGCATCAATATATGTTTGTCTGTATGTGCGTGCATGGAAAAGAGTTTGATTGATTAGACAATATTTTTTATGGACAAAGCTTTAAAAAGTCGGTTTATTAAATCATTTCACTACTTCAATCCGAATTTCAAGTTTGCTGAGGACTGTGATATCAACCGTCGAGCCATTAGATTATATACAGTATAAACAGCAGGCACTACGTTGCAGTTTAGAACTCATCAGCAATGTGAATATACGACCTCACACACTAGATCAAACCCAATACCTTTATGTCTCAAGTCCAGCACTATAATTTCAGAAAACTACGTTATAGGGAGATTAACTTTCTAACTTTGGTCATCTAGTCATACTGTTCAAGTTACGGACTAACCTTGGTCAGGTAATGATTGGAAATAATTAAGCGCCGGAGAGCTGTTTTATCCTAGCATGAGATTCAGCAGTTCACATCCACAACCTCACGGGGGGTGGAGCCCGGGACCACTTCAGATCTCTCGACGAGCCTTTAACTTTTAGACCATTGAGTTCGCACCGAAAGGTTTATATTTCTGACTTCATTCCACAATATTGCTCAACCATCTTCCATTGGTATTGGTTACTAGACTGCCTTACACTCAAAATTGTTGAGTCCTTACTAAAACTGGGAATCACCTGTCGAGATTAGTTATTAGCGAACATATGATTATTATGAATGTAAAGGGGTTTTTGAAGGTTGTTGACTTTTCATAGTTTACATCACAAACTGACCTTAGCTAAATAACTATATTTACTGGTTTTAAATAGCTACCTAATTAAGATCTGCCCGTGATTTAAATCACATAATTTAAACATCTCGATAAATTTCCTGTTATCAAAACTAACTTGAAATTCATTATGGTATGTGTTCATTATTACGCTATTGTGTAACTATATGATCGTCACAGAATTTTAAGTATTTTCTCTTCATGTTTTACTATTTTTCCGATAACAAATATTCATATAGGTAGTTCAACCTACAGTTGACAATTTTATTTATATGTTTTGAACACTCGATTTTCATACAATGGGTTGGATTTTAGCAATAAAAAACCTGTGAAAAAATAGTCTCTACAAAACAAATTATGATATTATGCTCACTGCTAGTAAGCGATAATAGAGATATAATTATCTAAGAGATGTATTCCTTAAAGTTCAATTAGGATAATTTGCAAATTATTATTATTGTTATTACTATTGAAATCGCCTTTCAGCACAGATGCCAAAAGAATTTTCGAAACTTTTCTGAGAATGAATACTTTGAACGTGCTTAGTTGAAGAGGTTTTTTTGAGATTAGTTTGATGCGTAAGTTGTATTCGTTACTGGTTGATGTTAGTTGAACTACCAATTAAAAACTATGGAGTACTGAGTAACTGTTACATCATAATTTTGGATTCTCCAACAATCTACATTCACAACCCCACTGGTGATCAAACTTAGAACTTCTTCGTATCTCGCAATGGTAACACTTAGCCGTCAGAACTGCAATAGTATAATTTCGACTTCAATCAATCTACGATATAGCCTGGCAATTATCCAATCTTGTTGATAAATGTTTTATTCTCCAATATGTCTGGACTCAATCAGTCATAATTATAACGAATTCAACTTACGAATAGAACTAATTTCCACAAGATCTGTTTAATTAAATTATCGGCTAATCAAAGCCAAGAAAAAAATGTTGTTCAAGTTACCAATAACCAATCAAACACTCTTTCGCTCTCATCCATTGTCACAAAATTTCTAAATTTTTATTTCAAAATTGTTGACTAGTTTCCTTGTTGATTCGATTGTTTTTTGTTTTAAGTTGATGTTGTTATAAAACTGAAAAGATTTTCTTTTTGAAGTTTTTTCAAAGAGAGGAACCGAATGTAAACGGAATTTAATCGATGCGTATAATTAGCAATCAAATAATTTTTAACCTTTATGCTTTCACGATCTACACACTTTTTGTTGAAATTAAAAAAAATGAAAATTTTGTAGAATTCCTTAATGAAAAATGATATTTTTTCTCTCAATCGATTTGTATTCCAGAATTACAATCCAAAATCCGTTTCGAATTACTCAGAAGCATGTTCATATGATCATAAACGTCAAACATTATCGAATTCAGAACATGGTGGAACACCTACTCCTCCGACAGTTGCTAAACGCCCACAACTGTCAAATATTGCAGATTTGAACTATTCCACTGGCATTTTAGATCATACAAATAGTCGTTCTTCAAATACAATCACCTCAGGGTACCATGTTATGGGTTTTAATGAAGACGTATCATTGATACGTATTGACCCTGTAACTCCTACTGCTGACAATTCTATCAAATTACCCTTAATATCCGAAGCCTCTGGTACCAAACAAACTGGCTTTAATTCTGGAAATTCTCATGCACTTAACTCATCTTGTTCATCTAATTCATCTTTCTTCTCGACTGGTTTTACTGATGTACATTCTACAAAGTGCAGCCCACTCAGTGATAAACTCTTAAACCAGTTAATAACATCAGGTTTACCGAAAACAACTGAATTCGAGAGACGTGGAATGTCCAAAATTATCCATGAAGTCTCAGGTTTAACAACTTCTAAAGATCATGACTTACCTCTTGTAGATGCTGAAATTTCAGATTCTATTTGTTTAGCTCCCGTCCAAAATAAAATTGCACCCCTTGCTCAAGATGAAATAGAAGATAGAACTATTTGTAATAATAAAAATCCAATTCAGATGTTGCCAAGAATTTCAGGTAAATCAATTTTGTATTGTCATTTATCGTACCTTTTATCCTTTATATTTTACTTTTGGTTACATTAATTTCATCTCCCTTCTCTAAAGCTTTTTGATTCATTATAAAAATCATTTAACTGAGAAGCGCATCATGGATTAGCTATGAGAAAAGATTTCGTTTTTATTGTAAACTTCAAGTTAGTAGACCACATGTTTTAAAATCTACTAGACGATTTTCCAATTTATGTCCCATACTCAGGCATAATTATTGTTCAACTTAGTTCAACGACTATAGGTATCAAGCTTCAATTGTTAATTTTACGAGTATCAGAAGAGATATACGTGTATAAACGAACCTTGGTTCTCTAAAGGTTGACATTGTATTAAAAATTGAGCTGATGAAGAATATTTGTTACCCAGCTTGAGCAATTTGGTGTGTTTTATTCCTTAGACTGAATAGTTTAGTCGTGATGTTTTCATTGTTTTTGTAAAAAGTTATCATGAGCTGTCAGGATTTCTCCCCAATTGACTAACAACCTGTTTTAGGTCAAAAGAACTATCTAATGTTATGTATAAAGTCGGTCAAAGCTTCATAAATAAACCGCCCAGCTCAGAAAATAAAATACCTCCAGAATATATACATTTATATAAACAGATATCTCTCACATCTATAAGAGATAGACAAGTATAAAAATATACGACCGCTTCCCCACACTGATATGGTTCATAGACGTTTCATGGAAACCCGTAAATGCGATATGTATCATTATTAAAATAGATGTAAGACAGGGAAATATATTTCAGTATTTGTGTATTTGGAAACAGTTGACCCGAAAGTTTAATCATTGCACAAGTGATTTAATTAATAGAATAAGTTTTATGTTATATTATATAGATTAGTAACTTTTCCATCTGAATAATTTAACGTGGGAATATTTTCTCTGCTTCCCTGTTATAGTCTATCTGATGTTCATTGGTCAACATGTATATGATAAACCTATATAGAGCATATAGTATCATACTCTATTTTTTGAGTATAGAAGGTTTATAGAAGTGGTTAAATTTTTATGGTTTATATTACGGATTGATATTACTTAGGTTCAGCGATCTAAATGTTAAATGCTGAGTTCGATCTTTGGTGGGGTGGTTGACGCACACCACTGAGGAGGAGCGGTCCCATATATTGGAATAAAATAGCTGTCCTGTTCATCCTGATTTTCACTGATTGTTTGACTACAATCAGTCTGTGATGCCAACTATTTTGTTTCCGTTTCATTCTACTTGTTTTTTCTTGCTTTTTCTATTTCATCAACAAAAAAGCGTTTGACTCTAGAATAATTAACACTAGCCATCCGTCATCAGATGTTATCCCTAATTGGGCAGTTGGTCGCCCTCAAGGTGAATCAATTCATCAAAATCATAATTTAATATATCCTGTTGAATTATCATCATCTTCAATGAATAATAGTCAAACTACAGAGATTACTCCATTAAATTCATCATTAAGTTATTTGGTTACTTCAGGTTATGATAAATGCAATGAATGGGACATAGAAACTCATTCCTCTTCTTCTTCCTCTTCTCTTCATCGTACCGCTGACAATACAACGGTGTCTATTGATTCAGCAATCAATAATAATCATAATACATGCAGTGATAATCATCGAGATGCATTATTATCATCATCAATAGAAAGACAAAAGATATACGATGAAATTGATGCAAATATGATTGAAATTAATAGTACAACTTCTAGCAGTGATGATGTTTCAGCTAGAAATGATGAAGGCGTAATCGATGTAGTTGTTAATGATGATGATTTCGAACCCGAGGAAGAAATAGAAGAGGATAATGATGATGATGAGGAGGAGGATGAAGATGATGGCGAAAACTTGGAAGTGACTCAGACAATTATTATGCAAGAACATTGGATGAATCCAAATGAACTAGTACAACACATTGAAAATTTCGGTTTGACTGGACTTAATTCAGAGTATAGTGCACTTGTTCAGTTGAAGAATGAATATACTCATATTGCTTTCAAGTGAGTATTTCATTTGTTGTTATTACGTGCACTAATGGATTAAAGTGATTCCCACTGATCTTCCAATATGTACACATATTATTTAAAATTGTATTTGTTAACAACAGAAAATACGTTTGTAGTGTATACGATGGATTCGAGTACATATATGATTAATTACCGAATAGAAATTCTCATAAAAAATGTTGGAACGGTATCATTATCGAACGTCTTAGTTTATTATAAGAAAATTAATCATTAGTCACTTAGTATATATTACATGAAAGTTCAAAGATATTTCTTTTTTAACGTTGGAGTTCTGTACATCTGTTTTATTTAAGAGTGGTTGTGTTGTTTTTCACATACAGAAAATGGTAAAGTCTCATAATTTGACAGAAAAAGTTTTAGTACAAGTATCTATATATTAGTCATGAGATAACTTATGCCCATCCATCGATGCAATGATGGATGTATGTGTGAAGGCCGAATATATTGTTCAGAAGACCATTTGGTTACTGCATTCACCTTGTAAGTCATTGCAGCTGAGATTGAAGAATGTCTAAAGATTACAGGTATTCAAAAGAGGAACAAGCTATTTTGTTCGGTTAATGGAATGACCCATCGAGAGAATAATGTCAAGTTTTGTCTCAAAGAGATCGTGAATATGAACTAATTGAGATTACTAGTCCATGTATCTTAATTTATGGCAAGTAGTCGTCCACTCTGATGTATGTAATGTCAGCCGAAATAGCAACAAGTTTTTAAAAATTTATAGTATTTCTACATTGACACATACTGTTATGCATCATCAAAGTTATTCTGTGCATAAATGTGATTGGTGTAGAAATGTGTAGGCTATTATGAATTACTTCATAATTTTTGCTCTTCGATTTCATTTATGTTTTGCGCTACATTTTTCTAATAATTATTTTTTGCAATTATTTAGTAATATTTTTCAGATCCTTTAGTTTTAGTTATGTTAAATTTGCTTTCTGCATGATAAACAGTTCAAAAACTTATATCTTTGCGCATCAGTGCCAGGTCCTACTTTAGTAATTGGTGTTTAAGACAGCTTCTAAGGGATTGGTGATTTTAGTGACAAAAAATGAGTTGAGAATTAATTACAAAGCAGATTATCATTTTCTCTGATTGTTATTTACGATGTATCATAAGTTTAACAAATTAGCGTTGTTTGTTAGTTACAAGTAGTAGGGAGCCGTGCTAGCTACATGTTTTGTGATAGTCAGGACTCATCACAAAGACATACCTTCAATATTGAGAATGTCGTTCAATGTGAGACTCGAAACCACTTCACTAAGTTTTACATTCTGAGAACCTACTGGTTTATTCATTAATCTCATACAGTATTTACAATTGATTGATGATTGAGTGGTAATCACCATCATTTTGTCTAGTCTTTTAGTGTTAATCAAATTCTATTGACCTATTTGGAATGTAAACACTAGTCTGTGTGAACTCAGATTGCATGCACTGTGTTAGAATGTTAGCTGGTCGGAGGTCCCATACGTAGCTCTTCAGTGCTTTCTGATTTTTAATAGTATCCCAACTGTGATCAATCTTCGGTGTATAAAACCTTAATAGTAATTGATATGCTAAATAAGTAATAAATTTCTTGATTATTTCTTGCAACAGCTGTTCATAACACAGCCCATGGATTGTCTTCATGTCATGTACAGTTAATTTTTAATTTTATTTTATGACGTCTTTGACTGTTTCTTTCCGAAAAAATCGTTACACTCGTGTTGTCAAAAGCATTCTTAATAAAATTTATATACTATAATATTGATATACGTAACCTGCATTTTTCTCTGTTAAGTAATGGCTCAATTTACTTAATCCGTTCTCCATATCTCCTTTGCAACATCTTATACTCTCTCTCGCTCTCCTAGTCTCAATCTTATATTTTTACAATAATGTCGATTATGACCGATATACATAGAGTAATTGTTTTTTTCTAACACTCTACTGTTTTATTTTTTTAATAGTCAAGAAAGTTTTTAACGATAATTACTGATCTAATAATTAATAATTAAGTCTGTTCATTATCGTTTTCACAATGTGTGATACTATCATTCTATTTCGTCGTCGTTATCACTCCGCTACCCTTACCACACACCCACCACAACATCTTATTGACATACCGACGTCATCTACTTGAAAGTATTCTGTGTAAAATTAATTTCTTATATATATATATATATATATATATATATATATATATATATATATATATGTTTAAGAGATAAACACTAAATGTGTGTTTTATTATGCTTTACTCTTTCTAGTTAAAGAATTGATGCGCTTAATTTTTAGAATAAATACTTCTTTCAGATTAGAATGTGCATTATTATCATTATTATTGTTATTGCTGAGTTTGAAAAAATTTCTCTTCCAACAACTTAGGCATACCTTTTCATATTGTCATATTAATTTCTCTCTCTCTCACAAGTTTTCTCTTTTTTGATTCTTGTTTCTAAAGTATTTATTATATATATAACGTTGAGACAATCGTCCTCAGTGGCGTAATCACTCCATCCACCCACATATAATAATAAAATATTTTGAGATTAACTAGACATTCTATTTTTGTTTGAAGAGTTAACTTGTCAAATGTAAATTATGTGAACTATGATAGATATGTAAACAAATAAGTAGTGTGGGTGGATGATAAAAAACTGAGAAAAAAGTTCAAAGTTATGCCACCTTTATTGGATATATTATTTCAGTCAAATTATAGTGTATAATGACGAGCCAATTAGATATCGAGAATACAGCTTCTTAGTTTTTACGATAGATTCAAATATCAAGTATAACGAAAAGTGGAAATACCTTTTTATGCTGCTCAACATGTTGAAAGTGACTGTGCAAGATTAATTTTTGCCAATATAGAGCAAAAACGATAGTTTTAAATCTGTCAGGCGCTCTGTTCTGTTTTTTGTAGATTGTACATAACAGGCGAATCGACAGTTCTTAAATATTAACTTACCGGCACTATATTCTATGAGTGTACTAATTGTATAGCGTCTCTTGTACTTTTGTAAGTGAAATTGATTACTCTTTGTGGTTACAAAGCATTTTTACATTTTAACTGATATGAATTTATGATAAAAGTTCTAACTTAAAACTTTTTATTCTAATCCTAAATCCTTAACCCTAACTAAAAGCAATATATACACTCATAATAATTCATTCAGGTCTTTATACATGTCCAAGACGATAGATCTAGATTATATAATCTCCATACATAAGTAGGAGTTTTTATGTTGTTTTTCCTTTGATTTACCTACAGGGTAATTTATAGAAGTATTTAATTGATCTATTAATTATGTAACATCTGTTTACACTTTAATATTATTATTTTTTCTTATCTACTCATAGAAGCTGTTTGTTGATTGACTAAGAATCGACTGAAAATGAGTTGTAGAAATATCTTTGTATGGTGCTTAGAACATTTAACATTGTAGGGAAAAAAATCGTACTATATCATCACAGAATAAAGATGGTGTTAAACATACAAAATGATAAATTATTTCTTTCAAAGTCGCATGTAACAAGCAGATCAAATCTGACTAATTCCTAACCTTACGTCAATGTGAAGCCACCTAAGAAACTACTTTTGTATTCATTAGGCTTTGAATGGGCACATATGTCATATGTATAAATTTATGTTATTGTTTTTCATCTTACAGGCAGAGGAACCTACAGAAGAATTCAATAGATTCTTTTAGTTTATAAAATCTTTGCCATATTGTTATCGTTTCTTTTTTATTCATTTAAACGTTCTTATTACAAAGGCTTCCGTTCAATTGGCTAGGAACTGGCTTGAAATTTGTTACGGTTTTTGTTTACTAATCGCTCAGGCTCATTTCTATATTGCACTCTTATCATTGTTTCTTTCGATATTTTTCTCTGGTTTCTGTGTTTTTTATTTACAAAAAAACTACTTTTGTCTTCTAAGATATCTTTTCAAATGCTACGAAAACGACTCTCATTCTATCAGCAGTCTTAGCTATTCATATAGTATGCGTAAATCAAAACCTATTATGTGTCTACACTTGGTCATCTGAAAAAGCTGGGATATAATGTTACACAGTCGCAACCAGCATTTACTTCGGAACACTACTGGCTTATGTATAAGCCCAAAATATACCTGACTAAGCTATATCCATCAATTAATGAGTAAATTGCTAACTAATGGTTTGAACAATTTATGGATCTACGAACATCTTGGTCAGAATCTGCATGACAAATAATGAGTTAAGACGTTAGTTGATAGAGGTTAACGTCAATTACAGCGTTGGAAATATTGTCATTCCTTATTTCCCCTTCAGTCATCTCCACAGTATCATAGCAAATTATCAGTTCTAGATTTTGTTAATCCTTTTTGACTTTTTTTCTATAATTCATTTTCATCTTTTCTCTGCTGTCGGTATATTGTACGTTGACTTTAGTTGTACTGACGTGTAATGTAGCAGCGTAAATTGATACTTTTTAATCAGATGTTTTCGTATCTCAACAAAATGTTATTCTGTCTTATTCGTTTTATTTTTTCATTCTATTCCATTTATTTTTCTGTCGTTTTATTTTGTTTTGTTATTCACATAAATATTTCAGGCATATACTTAATCGGAGTAAAAATCGCTATTGTGATGTGATTTGTCATGATGCAACACGTGTTTATCTCCAACCATTATTATTATCGTCGGATATTTCCAGAATTTCCACTATTCGTAGTGATGAAGATCCGACAGTATTATGTAATGCTCAAAAATCCCTTACCGCACGTCTTCATCGTACACATTCAGCACCAATATCAGCGCACACATTAGTAAAAAATTATATTCATGCTAATTGGGTTGATGGTTATCGACAGAAAAACGCTTTTATCTGTACTCAGGGTATGTGGAGTTTCGTTTGCAATTTACAATTGTTTCATGTAATAATTTTTTTATGTTTTTAGAAAAACCATTTGCAGCTTCTTACTTAAATTTTTATGTTATTAGTGAGGTCGCAATTTAAGTGTTAATAAAAGCCACGACTAAGATGTTTACAGTTCATCAAAGTTTATTTTTTGTTTAGTTAACCAAGTTATAATTATGTTTGCATATGTATTTATATATCACACTGTTATGGATCGAAATTTATGCAGTTCTCTTAAATCCGCCACTCTCGCTTTATTTAATCGGTAATTCATCACCGTAAAACGTGTAGCCAGTGTTCAACGGTCCAAGTCACCTTTTATTTTAGACCGGCCCAGAAAAAAAAGTCAAAATGAATAAGAAGCGTAGCTTGAAAATTTATATCGGCAACAACGGAAATCGAAATGTGAGAAACTCAGTTCAAAAGGATAACTTTGAATAATAGAATAACACCCAACCCAGTATTTTTAAGACGGTAGAGAATAGTTGTAACTGTAACCGACTTTATACCATTTTAATCCAATTTCTGTAACCGTTGATTACTATCATTAGTTGGGCCGTAACCAGGAAGTTGAAACCTATTTACTCAACTAAGATCATCGGTCAGTGACTTCATGAATTGATGTTATATCTAAATCTACTCACTGGTAGCTACTAATCAACTTACTTCAATCTCAGACAATATTGGTTTCCAGGATTGGCAGTTCCGGATGTGTAGCATGCGTCCAAAGCACCTCGGCCAATAAAGGTTTATTGTCTCATAAATGGATGTACTCTTCTAACCTAGTATCATGTTCCCAGTTTTAGCATTATTCACTCGATAGTTCCATCATATACGAACAGTCTTTCTAAAAAAAACCTACATGTATTTTCTACTTTGAAAGACCATGTTTCACATTAACTAAGTTAATATCTCATCGATTTGCTATATTCTTGGGCAGTAACAATAAATTTTTATAACACAATACATATACCCTGATTCAATATATTTTTTGTAAGTAAAAAATCTTTATTCACTATCGGTAAATTTACTGATTATCGCTCTGTTTCAATTATAATCAATGATGAGCCTAGAATAAATGCGCCTTGACCCAAGTTGCCATGAAATATGGACGAGATGAATAACAAAGGAATTGAAAATATTTAACATCAGTGATAACGAAAAAGAGTAAGTATTGAGAATATAGTTTGCAAAGTCAAAATGTAGGTTATGTATAAAAAAAATACTAGAACTCAAGACTTAGAGAAATGTAAAGAGTAAATACGTCTGTGCTACTGTAATTGGATTTGGATCATATCACCAAATGTCTCCAACCATTGATCTCTGTTATCGTGCGAACTCCAACTAGTTGATGGAAGCCTACCAATATGAATCAGATCAACAGTCATTAACCTCATAGACTGATGTTACATTTTAGTTTTACTAAATCAGAAGAAAACTTTCTATGACTTTTCAAATTTATGCATTTTTCTAACAAACTTTCAAATATGTTGCCTCAGTGCTGTTTTTGATCGACTCTTTAACTTAAACCATTATTAATAATATGGGGAAAATCGAGCATGGTGATGTTTATCTGGCGAATGTGATTTGATGATGCATACGTCTGTTGCTAGAAATTAAATCGACTAGTTTAAATCAATGCAATAGTTCTTCATTTTGTTTCTGATAATCAACAAATAAACTACCCATAAAATTGGCGTAACTACTTGATAATACTAATGATGATATCCGACATCAGTAGTAGATTCTTCATTTATTTATCTTAGATCTATAAAGAATTCTGTGATTTCAATGTGTTTATAGTGTCCAGTCACATGATTGACATTCCATTTAGTAGAATAATTCTATTAGATAGATAGATATAGGGAGAGACTGATCTAAGATATTCTGACCATAAAACCAACTGAGTTATTGTCAACCGTTGACAGAAAGATAACGAAGTGGTTGAGTGATGATTATTAGTACGATCAACATGAGAATCTAAGTCTCCACGCTTCTCTAACTCGATGTAAGCTGGTTTTAATTGACCATACTGATCAGAAATCTTTAGGTTTCTTATTCCTTCTAGAACCACACGTACAACCTTCGACTCTAAGACCGTGAATATATTACATAGTGCTTTCCAAACATTTTGGCCCAACAAATATATGCACTGTGTGGGAGTCCTACCGCTAATAAAATTACTGACAACTCAACAGTCTTCCCTTCGAGTTCTAAATTCACCCTTGTAAAGAATCTCCAAAATGCATGGCACGATGTTGTAACTTATAGCTGTATCATTTTGATCTACACTTCCGGCGATAATGTTACTCAGCAACTGACAAGCTTCATTAACCACGGTGGACTTTTCATTGTTTAACAATGCAGGGATATACGTTAACAAACCAGCATCCATAATAGCTTTTATTTGTTCGCCGAATAAGTCTTGGTGGTCTACGGCCGTACGTCTTAAAGCATAGGTAGCATAAAACGGTGAAGATGTAACTCCTAAGGGAAGGTTCTACTCCTTATTAGATGTTTCGTTACTCCTAACATTTTATTCTTTCAATTTAAACTGATATTAAAATTAAAGAAATATGCTAGCCCAGAATAATTTTAATTCAGAGATGGGAGAAATGTAATTATATGTTCTCAACTCTCATATAGACACTACCAATAAATTCATCAGTAAATACTATCAGATAACATATTTGCATTGATAAGCTTACAACTATTTTAAGGCAAATATCTTTGTGTAGTGAAATGTTACGTAATGTGTAAAACTACTCTATAAGCTATTTATCTTCCTCAGTGCTAGTGTTTTTGATTTGTCTTTGTGGTTCGACTAATCACTCTATCATAATTTTAGAAATATGTGTCAAGTTCATTAGTTGTTTGATTTATTAGGGTTGAAAAGTTATTAGTGTTTCTCACTCTTAGATATCATTGAAATCTTCTTACAGCTCAACTTTTTGCTTATGTGTATCATAGATTTCTGAAAATGACTAGTTATATCTTATGAGCATCATGTGTATCCATTGAGTGGAAACAGAATTTCAAGATTTTTGAATATCCATAACATTTATTCTTAAACCATAAAACAAACCGAAAAGAACATTTCTATCTTTTATATAGTAATAATAATAGATTTCTTATCCAGTAGAGGTAGAGGTTTGTATTCTTTTAATATTTCGCATGTTATATAAACAAGTAGATAACGTACCGACGAAATTATCTGCTGTACGTTGCATAAGTTAAATGCAACTATTTGTCTGGCAGAGATATAGTAACCTGCTGATTGGGAATTCAACATCCATATCTACTACAAAAATGTAACAAATGTTATCGAAAAAGTTCAAGGTGACGAATATTTAAAGATCCTGCATATAACATGCTTTAAAAATTAATCGATGATCGTTTTGCAGATAGCATTCGTCAAAAATCGCTCTCAGTTGAGGTAACGTGGAAAACCGGGAAGTACCCATCATGAAACACCTTATCTGTGCGTGATTATCGTAACCAATGTTTAGAGACTTTGGGTGACATGGCTCAGGATCGTTCACAATAGTGCATTAGCATTCGCTCTTTATCTTTAGTTCCTGAGACCTGTAATCTTCCCATAACAATCTTCTTTTTTCCTATTGCTGATATACTATTGTCTTTACTCATAGTATTTATACTACTTTAGGATTTGTCTTGATATAAATTTGTCTCGCTGGGTTAATATGGTAAGGCAACTTGAACCGATGTTTCAGGTTCTACGTTACATATAACTAACTGACTGGTTGACCATCTGTGCACACCCCCGGCCACACCAATGTTTAAACTCAGGACATTGAGTTCTCGTTTTAAACACTTATTCATAAGGACCGTTGGTTGGCACCAGCTGTTACAATTTTAACCTCAATCAATTTTGCGAAATAGCGTGATTACCCAATGATATTTTCAACGAGTGTTTCATTCTCAACATGTCTGAGTTCCACTCGTCACGGCTATCACAAAATAATCAAGGTTTGGATTGTACCATTGACACCAACTTATTAGTTCCAATGAATAAGTGATCATCTTGAGAACTTTTTATCTTGGGTGTGTTCACTAGCGGATTTGTTTGTGCTCAATCCTGAGAAGTTTTATACTCGGATAAAAACAGCTGTTTAGTGCTCTCTGCCTTTCAATTTACCTCAAATGAAACCAATGTCTAACGACTCATTACTCACCAATTAAACCGATCTCTACTACACCTCTTCAATTAATAAGTGACATTTATTTGTTGTGTATAATTGCTTATAGTATTAATAATATCGTTTTTTTCATTGTTGATTAATTGACCGTGTTCATCAATTTTGATTTCTTTTTTCATAAAAAAATTTGTTTATATTTTCAACTTTTACAGAAGTTTTTCTTTTACATTTGTTTATTTTATTCTGATTGATCTTATCAATGAATCAGTAACACAAACTATTGTCTGTTCTATTGAATTGAAAATGTACATTTTTGTAAATACAGGCTAGCATTATGCAGTTGTGTGTGTGTGTGTTATAGATTTCAAAAGACACTTTTTTTAAATTGCTATACCTAGATGATAGACAGAAGAAAAATATTGACTTCATCTGTTCTATATTATACATATTGTTATTGAAGCCTACGTTATATTATACATGTTTAATTATATAAAGTCTTATAATCACTGAGAAGGCCTTCAAATTCCCTGGTACGGCCGAGAGTGGGGAGAGTCCGCTCTCCCTCTCCAAATGATCACGCATGTATAGCCACTGCCACAGAAGTCCTACTAACTGCCTTCTCGTGGCGGGGGTGTTGTTCAAGAAATTGAGAAGACGAAAAGCGAATACATGGAGCTTTAACCGGGTTGGTGGACACTGAATATCCACCTAGGGGAGTTGGAATACCCTGATTTCAAACCAATGTTGGGCATGAGCTCCAGTTTCCTGAGGGAACAAATGGCATATGAATCATTCGTTGGTCACCGTCTACCATCGGACTGCATCTCCTCACGATGCTCCACTGCCTTGTGGATCAGACCTTTAGGTTAAAGGCTCCGGATGTGGCCCCATTAAAAAAAACTACCTGCTTCAGTTTGGGCATCTGGGCAGTATCACAGCCCTCACACAAATCAACTGAGATTTGTGGGGCGCATATGTATTCGGTGCCCCTTTGTACCAATATTTATGTTTTCAAATAAATAATAATCACTGAGAAGACTGTATTCTTCCAAAAATTGCTTATGCCTGTGGTACTTGATTCAGGTACGTTTTACAAATGGCAAATTCTCTACGCACTCGCTTTTGCCTGAGTATAATTTAACTGTAATGATGTGATCCATACTCTTTCTCAGTTCTCTTAAAGCATTTCCTTACATAACATAATCATGTAATTAAGCTTGTAATAAATTTTTTTATATCATCAATTTGAAAAAAGATTGTAATATTGTGTGACTAGTTTCCGACAACCAAGTAATGTGACAGAAATAAAAAGCACTTTTTCAGTTGTTTTTGAGGTTCTTGTGATCGGACCGTAACCGAAGAGCAACTACATAGGTCTTGTTCGAGTATTGATCTATTTACCTTAATTGTCTATCTAGTACTAACAGCCTCCTGTTAACCAATAACACGATGAAAACTAGAAAACTTCAATACTTAATGATTATTAGTTGAGAATGCAGTTCTGCAACGGTTGCTCATCCGAAAGCTAGAATAGATTACAAACAATCTGGTAGGAACTTATAATTAAACAGTTTAAATTTCTGAATCACCCATGCAATAAAGTAGAGTAAAATCCTGACGTTATATCAACTTAATTAGAAATTTCATGGTGGCCGTACTGCGTCATGATTTAAAAAAAAACTCAGTAGTAGGACTGTAATAGATTAACGGTAACTTGGTTACGGTACAACATATAACAACAAATTGAACATCACAAAAAAGCTTACAAACAGGAGAATCCAAAAATACACTAACTTAAGTATTGAGTAATCATACCTTAAAAATGCATGCAATAACCCCAAGTAGGACGGTTCCAAGAGTTCAATATCACTTCATATATATCCCGTTATATCACAAAGTTAGATGTGACAAAATCAAGACTTGGAATCACTCCATGAAGACATTAATTATTAATCTGTGACATATTGGTAGTTAGGCGATATTGTATCCGAAGAAGAATAAATTACGGGTAACTTCTGGGAACTATTTATGGACTCTTACTGTATGCATAACTACCAAGTAGCTAGATTATATATTTTTATATTTCTCATATTATGAGTCTTCATTTGACCTATTGGCTACTATTATACGATTTACCATTCTTAAGTGATCCTCAATCTGTAAGTTATAGTATCTCACACTCACAACCACTTTTGGCTTGATCCTGTATAATTGTTATTCCGTATTTTATGGTATGATGCGGTCTGATTTTCTTGCATATGAACTGCATATATCTGAAATACATGATTCGAAAAGTAGAAGCTAAGATTGTGTTATGGACTCAAGCGTGCAGGGTTAGGCAAGACGAACCAATAAGGACTCAGATTCACTCTAGGCTGCTTGTAATGGTTAACGCGTCTTTGGTTTGCACAGTGCCAAGGTCATATTGGCGATTTAGTCACGTGAACATAATAAGCAGACTACTACCTGGTTGGGATCTGCGATGACCAGAAAATTACGGTGATAGATCTCAAAATACGTTGTAATAGTCCAAATACATTCGTTCTTTGTCTTTCTCTAAATTTTAATTTTTAAAATGATCTTATACTATGCTATCCTATGAATCCACCCTTCTTGAATTATTATATTGCCTGTTTTTTAATCTTTTGTACTACTATCTCTGTACTTGTCCCAATTATTTCATCTCGCTGTAGTTAAGTAATATGATGTGACAACTTGAACCTATGTATACATGTAGTTCAAGTTCTACGTTGCTTATCGCTGCTGATTGATTGACGGACCAACTCTCTGACCGTGGTAAAAATATTCAGAAAATATTTTTTAATGCTGATTGATTCTCATAATCATTTACAAAATTCACTTGGTTATTTTTTTCCTTTTATATTTAAGATTTAATTAATTAACTAATTATTGATTAGTTACTTACTCATTGTTAGTCTGTTCCTAAAAACGGATTGTTGGTTAAAAATACCTGCCATACGTTGTTTTGATGATAATTACATAATAATCTGATTTATTGAATTGGTTAAAGTCAAGTTAAGGTTACTTATATTTAATAATTTCTGCCAACTAGTTACATTATAATCGTTTTTAACGTCTTCATCAATCACGCGTTAACTATTAAGGTTAGTGTGAAGAAAAGTTAACTTACTGATATCGAAGTATTTGACTTTCAACAATAGAACCTCAGGGTTTAAATCCTTATCCACCTTTTTGGTGAATACATGTCCGTGAGTTTATAGAATGACTCCCTATCAATGTTTAATGTGTATGTAATATCTAGCATTCTTCTATTTATTAAGTAATTAAATGCTGCATATTAAAGGATTATTTTCACTGAGGACAGTCTCCTACGAGTTACACTCTTCCATGCATTACTGACCCACCAAATGAATAGAAAAATTCTTTAAAATACATGATATTGCTCTTTTATTGAACATTGAGAAAAAAAATTTATCGTCATACGTTATTGGCTCGGTTTGGGCACTTAGCTCTCATACACGCAAAATGTATACTTTTGAGTTAAGTTGATGAACTCGTACTTGTAACATGTTTTTAGTAGTTTTCTATGTTTTAAATAATACCACTGTTATGGTCACCTGTTTCATTCAGTTATAGGGACACACTCTTCCTTATGTTTGACCGAACAAACTTAAAAAATCCAGTAAGACTAAGAATCCCTAAGACTCTTTATTCCACAGGCGGAATCAACATGTACATAATCCATTGATAATTGGGGCGGAGTGATACACATAAATTAATGTAACTGGTAGCTTAAAATAAGCGTATGATTTGCCTACTTAAAATAGCCTATCAACGTTTTCGTTTCTCAGTTTTTTGTTACTATGAGACTACAAATGCCTAAAACCACCCGACTCATCACCTCAGCATCATAGAGGTTGGGTTTTCCTCTTCAGTTTTAGATGTTGTGACTTCAAACTAACTATTATTTGTTATCTTTCAACTATCTGTGCCTATTTACTTGTCACAAAAATAGTCATAAGCTCATTCCTCATATCCTTTAAATAATCAAGCAATTTAAGAAGACGGAGGTTTCCCGCAACGTTTCACTGTTGCATCCACTTTCCTGATTATTTAGAAAATACATTCTCCATATTAGTTTGTTTTCAGTTTACTAGAAATTTCATGATCTTACTGTGTAGTTTATGATTCACAGTAGAACTATCGTGGAAATATTACAAGAAAAATAATGGTATTTTCTCCGGCTACATAATTATCACGTTGTAATCAATCTCCTGCCATATGTATTTTTCTAATTATATTATTTTTCTTACACTCTAAATTTATTTTTTGATACTTCCTTTAAAATTTAGGTCCGTTATCTGAAACTGTAGGTGATTTTTGGCAGATGATTTGGGATTATCACTGTCCTATTATTGTCATGATCACAAGGTAAATCTGACGCTTGCAATGTACTCCTACTATATAATATATATAAACCGTTTATTTTGTTTTGTAATATAGCCGAATTCAGTTTTCATACACAATGGTTTTCTTTGTCATCATGAAGAGAGTGAATGCAAAATTTTTTAAGCAGAATAACTCGAATTTATTTTATTTCGTTTGCTTCTCCCCATCAGCTGCTGTCAGTCTGTAATATTTAAAACCATGATTACGAAATCGGTTATTAGTATGTACTCAAATGAGTTTAGTTAGAGGCCGTTTTGAAGATATCAGTATGATATGGTAAGGATGTAAATAAAGTTAACAGACTGAATAAAATGTTGCAAATATTCTATAACATTAATAGTAATAAAAAAAACAAGAACCTAGAAATAATTGGCTACATGATGAAGAAACGCTAATAGTCAGTAATGATAGAACCAGTAAAGTTCGCTTAATTAAGATAAGATTACTGATCTAAAAGTCTAAAAATAACTCAATAATGCGGTCAATTGAAAGATTTAAACAGAATTTTGTGAATTTCATTCAAATCACGAACCGATTTAAGTCAGAGGTAACGATTACTAACCTGGAAGGACTGTACTGAAGAAATGTTTCTATTATCAAAACATAGAAAAGCTTAACAATGATCTCTTTTTAGGCATAAATCAAATTTCTGACGCCTGATGGCGATGACTTCAGAGAAATCCAGAATACTGGTGGTAGGCTTTTTGTGAATGACCTTGGGAGATTTCAAGGTATCTACCCGGTGTTTTATGTTCAACAAATGTTTAGTGATTGCTTTATTTAAATTAAATATTACACGTTGTAAGCAGCTGATGAAAACTAAACTAAATAAAATGGATTCATATTATACTGTTTAAATCTTTGTTCTCGTACTTTTCAAGATGGTAAAGGGAACTGTATGTATAAAATTCTTCAAAATACGTCTCTCTGCACGCTCATTCACATCACTGAATTGTTTGGTGGTAGTATGTTGCAGAATATTATTAGAAGTGACTGCAGACAAGTTTTATAATTAATGTTTAGAGCCATATTGTTTTCTCCGTCTATTTGTAAAAATATTGCTTCCTTGTAACATAAGGGAATACAGATTTGCTTTGCAGTTAAATGATTAGCCTACATCTTGTGCCACAACTGGTGAATAGTGACTTCCAACTATTTTAAGTGATTCTAGAATTTAAAAAATTAAATTTTTCACGTGAACTAACCAAGGTGATAATTAATCTTATCAGCTTTCAGAGTTCAGGTCATTTTTATTTAGTTTGAATAAACAATAACATGTATATCGGAGGCTTATAAAAATTATTCAATTTGAAATAAAGCTTACATCATGAACACAGACTTTTAGAGAGACAGTTACAGGATATCAACTCCAACTGTAACGCAGTTGTCACAATGAATAACGTTAATGCATACACCCTACTGAAAAGTAGTCTCACTTGCTCAAATGAAACAGTTGTCTTCAATGTTTCCTAATTTTTAATTTTTATTTTGTTGAGATCAATAAATAATATAAACTAATCTTCAAAAATTTCCAGGATTCAAAACGTGTTATAAAAGGAGTTACGGTAGTTGCTTTAATGATGATAATTCGATTGCACACTAATTTACATATTCTGCACGATATTTTCCATTGATTATGAACGTTTATCATCTTCTGTTCCAAACTAAAAAATTTTTTTTAACTGGTTAACTAAAAAAATTGAAATATAAATAGTAAATAGTAACGTTTTTGTGTCAGTGTGAATTGGTGGTCGTAAGCATTTGAGTGTTTCAATGCTAATTCATGCACGTAATTTATCTTGTAACTTGCTTTGTCTTTGAAGCAAGTAATACCTTGATCAAAAAAGTTTATGACCGATCTACTCTCTTTAATCGTTCAGCTTTTTTTTATAGAAATGAGCGTTGTAAGATTCGTTTAGTAATAACGTCGTTGTTGTTTCAGATGTATGGCTAACTATTCAACTTATCTTAATATTCATATATTTTTCATGGCTATAAATAAGAGTTAAATGTAGTGATTCTATTTTTACGAGGACAAAGTAAACCAGCACATTGGTCGTACGCTTGAAAGTATGGATGGATGTTGTTATAATGTACTTACCTAAATAGAATCGATAGCTTAATAGTGAAAAACCAGCTTTTACAATCAGTAGTAGATTGTGAGTCCGAACCCTCTGTACATCTACTTTAGCTTGAACGACCAGATGATATCACAAAGACCTACGGAAAGGCTTATTTATTTGAAAGGTTGCAAATGCTGACATCCATTCAAAAATAGGTTGCTCCAGTTCGATAGACTTAAATTCAATCAACTCACAGTTTATTTGTGATGATAATCTATCAGCGATCGCGTAGTATCAAATTAAAACTCCATCTTATTAACTTAATTTTGGTTACAAGTTGACTGTTTACAAGTAATACATCGATTCTATTATATCATGTATGATTTTAAATATAAACGGTACCAAAGGCATTCTGTTGCCAAAAGTCATCGTTTAAATGGGGATTTTCGCATCCGTGATAATATCATTTTATTATTGTATTTTCTTTTAATATCTTACATTAGAATTCTTGAAGCTCAACGTTCCAAATGTTACTTATATTGGCCAGATGTTGAAAACCAAAAACTCTATTTTAGTTCTGGCCATACAGGTTGTCTCTATGCTCCTACTTCATCTGATCGATCAAATAATAGCTTTTCGAAATTTAGTAGTAGTAATAATAATGTTACTCCGGATTTTTTAATTGAAAATGTCAAATGTGAAAGTAATGGGAATTTCGCTCAGACAACACTACGAATAACACATTTACAGGTTAGTAATTGTTGCTTTTTCCTTTCAAATGATATGATCCTTATGCCCTAACATTTTAGGTATGAAGCAGTGATCAGTTAGGGTTATATCATAGAGTATTAAGCAGAATTGGTAAATTGATTGATGAAGTTGTAAACTTTTACTTACTGAAGCGATTGGGATATGTGCTATTAATACCCGACCACTGGCTACCTTGATTTGAGATGTTTGTCAATGTAGAAGTAGATAATGAGAAAGTTAAGGTCACTCAAACCAGAACGTGACGCTAGTGTATGAAGTCATTAACTATTCATCTGATCCATGTCTGTAAATGCAGTTATCTGGTTTGGTCATATGAAATAACAGGATACAGTTGGCATAGCGCATATGCACTGGTTTTATCTTCCTCTAGATCTTAGATCCTAGTATTCCTTGATATTTGCTGATCTTTTCTAACCATGTTTAGTTCTCATTGTTGTTTCTACTACAATTGTTTCGATATTTTTGCTATTTATTGTGTTAATCTTATCTCGTTGTGCTGTTGTGTACTACAACTACTATGTATGTATATATATGCATGTTCAAGCTGACTTATTAATTGACTGACTTGTACTTCAACTTCAGACGTATTGTTTATGCTTGATATTACACTTTTATTTTAGTAAGTGTAGCGGGGACATACTGATCTGTCCATTCAACTGTCAGTCATAAGGTTGCCGATTCAAACTTGACTCGACCTATTTAAGTTATACAGACAGATTGTTTCACGATCCCATTCACCCGATTTTGATCCAGTTGATAATGAACCATGACATAAATCAACATCAGTCCAAATTATTCTCTATACATACCTGACAACTAGGTCTAATGTTTATTTTATAGTTTACATGTAAAAATGACCTTATTTAAACTATCATTAACAATTGTGAAGCACTGGACAGATGCTTCGTCTTGATATCCGATTCCTCGTCAGCGGGCACTCACCAGCCTAGCGAGAACTGAACCCAGGACCTTCTAACCTCGCAGCAAGTGCTTAAACTCTAGACCACTGAGCCGGCATCTAATGGTATACGATTTATAAACTCATTTAATTTACAATATCGTGCGCCCATTAGCCAGTTCTCAATAATATTTGTCCCATCCTTTACATGGTTGAACTCCACTTATCATGGATTCTCACTAGAACTTCGAAAACTATCAGCGTTAGTCGCTGATGAGGACATTATTATTCTTATTGTGATAGATTTGTGGGGGGTTTTGAATTTTATACTTCATATAACCGCTGAAAACCAGGAGACATTGGACAGTTGCTTCATCTTATTATGTTCACTTTGTCTGTTCATACTTTGGATTACATCGGAATTCGGATCTTCCAAAAATCTGATTATATATGGATGGGAATATATGATATTATTCAGTTGCTCATCCATTTCTTTTGCTCAAACAAAACCCCACAGCGTCAGCACATATAACTGTATTTATCGAACCGATCAATGTAAACTAAATACTTGTATTATCATGTATGTTTGTTTTATGTGTATGTACTGACAGGGAGTTCCTTTTTTGGCTCTGACATACCGTGTTTATATATTTAAAAAAGATGAAAATTCTCTTATACCCGCATAAATACTTTAACTAATAGATAGCTGAAGAGTCTTGATTTTCAATCAATGAGCTTAAATAGCCGATTTTTTGTTGTCCTTCAATATTGTGCCTGTTTGGTTTATCATCAACCAGCATAATCTTGTTTAATATATAAGTGTGTGTGTGTGTGTTTGTGATCAAATAACTTCACATCACGTTTGTAAGTTCAAACGGAAATGTTAGAGATTTTTAAAAGTGTCATATAAACATATAGACAGGAAAAACTGTGTGTATGGGAATGGCTGTGGCGTTGACAGCTGATTATCTCAAGATTTAACTGTTCCCTGTTCTTGTAGACATTCAATTTCTAGCCTACATCGTAAACTGACTCTAGCTAGATAAACATTGAACACCAGAAAGCACTAGATCTCTAAAGCATCTTAACGTAGGACTTCTTTTTCTTGGTTATATTTTTGTCTGAGTCTTAGATGCATATCAAAGATAAGGTTTCATAGTAAGGCTCTACAGATATCGAGTCCATCCTGGTTTTGTGGTTAGATTCTGTTGTGTCTGGTAAATTAGCTAATCAGAATTCGAATTATGTTTTTTTTCGCTCCACGTATGTTTAATCTATAGCCTGTAGTCCCTAGTCTTGACCGATGACGCGTTCTGACCAACGCAATTAGTTTTGGGATGACGTATGCTTCACTCCTGTTTGTCTACCGATTTGCATGCCTGGGCCAGCTATTATTACATTTCAATCACCCAGCATCTATCTTAAGACTCGTTAAGTTATACACACGGACTATCAGACGTCACAGTACACCATATAAGCACTCATGCGTCAAACACATTTACTCCATGAGTGTGACAGTAAGTGAAGCAACTAGTAAATAATTAGTTAACAGTAATTAAGTTAATAAGTCCACTGAAAGCTGACAATAAGGAGGTTATAAAAATACAATAATACAGTTATCTACCAATTAAACAATAAAAATATAAATGATCGTAAATTGTAAATTAGTCCTAAGAGTTACACTTTCTTCATTATTCACTCTGCTATAACAGGGTCATTCTATGGTGTTAAGTGCGTATTAAAAAAATTTCCACTAACCTCTTATCTAAATAATAATCATACTCTCATCAGTGAATAATTTGAGAATTCTTAAAGTTCTATCAAGAAACGGTCTACAGTGAAGTTCATTAATTCCCTGTATGAGAGAATGATTATTGATTTCAATGTACAATGTCTGCACAATATTGCAAATTAATTGATCTTGGACGTTTAAACCCTGGAAGTTCAATTTAGCATTTTAAATGTTTTATGTTTGATCATGAGTCAATTGAAGCTAGACCACCATGGAAAACCTGTGAGCGCTGGATGGCCATTTCTTCTTATTATGGGACTCTTCAGCAGTGCGCATCCACGATCCCGTCTCACGAGATTCGAACCCAGGACCTATCAGTCTCGCGCTTGAGCACTTAACCGATAGACCACTGAGCTGGCATCCAACAGTGTTAATGTCTAAATTCAACCAAATTTGTGAACATCAAAATAATTATTTGATTAACCACTCAAAATAATAATAATGTTTATTGGTTTAATTTTGATTACATTTTTATTAGAAATTAATTATTATTCCACCAATTAATTAAATTACTGTTTAAAAAAACATAAACATATTTCTTCTTGCGTAATTGGTTCATCCTCCAGTATTATTGCACAGTGAATAGATAATAATTAGTTACACTATCAACGCCCTTTTTAATCTATTTTTGAAGAACTTTTCCATGCTTTAGTGTGTGTGTGTGTTTGTTTATGTTCAGGTTTTCACACAAGTGGTCTGTGTATGTATGTACAAGTGTGCTACAAATTCTCTGTACTGTTCTCCTTCTTCTTTTTCATCTGAAACAACTCATCTTATATAGTTTTCCTCTTCGTTTCTGCGTCTTGATTTGGGATTCATCGATTTCTCCCTTTCGCACATGCACGTTTCAAACCATTTTCTAGTATTTTACTTTCAATAAATAGATAAACATAACTTCGATTCCGCATTTTATTTCTTTTTGCCTCCTCTTCAAATTACTTCTTATTCCTAACTTTTTCTTAATCCTTTTCTTAAATTCGCTTTATACGATTGTTCGTAAATGATCATGCTGTTTGTATGATGATTATTATCTTTCACTATTTTTCCTTTTTTCTCAATAGAAAATACCAATTTAACTTTTTATCTGTAAATAGGCTTGGTTACTTTATGTTTGTATGTAAGTTTAGGGTAAAAGTCACTTTGTCCGGGCCGACAAGGTGTGGTTAATTCTGTGATAAACCATCAGTTTATTACATAATTATTTCGTTGACTGAAATAAAATCCAAGTTAAACAAACTAATTCACCAGGTACTTGGATATGAACCCTACTCTGAGCCTGAGCGCTAATAATACTACCCGGATGTCCAAACTGAAGTATATGGGTCGGGTTTCGAATCCGGTACTTAGTGGTTGGAAGTCGACCACCGTATCCATTAAGTCGCCACTCAACTGAGATAGATATTTTATATATGGATATAATATATTTATTACCCTGTTGCCATCTTCCTAATGGCCTATGTTGTTAAGAGTCAGTCATTATCAACAGAGAACTTAACACATATATATGCTTTGGCTGGAATTGCCATACCACATTAGCTATAAGAGAGCTACTTAGATGTTAGATGAATAACAAAGGCATCGAAGTAATGTTGGATCAAAAATATTGAGAAAATATTGAACACAGAGAAATATATTTAATAAATGCACAACAAAAAGATGTGTACAGTGGATTACTGGGTGTCAAGATTTAAAGGAAAATAAACAGTAAATAAATTTGCAGTATTATGACAGATTCTTATCTCTTTCTCACAACATCTCTAACCAATAATCACATGGACCCCAATCAGTTATTATGGTCCTACAATCATAGCTTAGGTCAACAATCAATGACCTCATGGAATGCCGTCATGTCTTTGTTCTACCGCTGCTAGCTTTTTTACAACAACAAGCATCACTCGTCGAGGTAGGCCATGGTTCGGAGTACATAACATGTGCCGGCCAGTACAGTCGATGAAGATTCATCAACCAATTTGCTGTTTTGCTACTATGCTACGCCCAATCTTAATACTACTCTTTCATTTGGTTCATGAAACGGGAATAGTGCCTAAAAGCAAGTAGAAAATGAAACAAAATAGATATTTAAAAGTTCTGGCCTAGTCACAAAGATTATTTGATTTGATATAGAACCAGATGATTGAGATGACTTCAGGTCTAATCATTCTAAAGTACAAGTAATCTATGGGAAAGTACTGTAAGTTTTATGTCTAAAGATTGGTGATATTTATTGATCTCTATCATAATAATCTTTTTGTTTTACATACTTGGTAGCATGTTCTACGGCTAATTGCTTGTAATGTCCTCTCTGTAGGTCACCCTAGTGTCCTGTAAGCATCAGTTTCTTTTTTACTGCGGTGATTTTAATATGAAACTATGATGCGTGCAAATTAACATTTACTGTGCCACATTCAATTTGTATATCTGTAAATCATTATTGTTTATCAAATAAAAAACCAAGTGTCAGGCTCCATACTTATTATGTGAATAAATAAACATAAATGATTTACAAGCGAGAAACGTTTTACTAGAGTGTAAGTATTTGTTTTACCAGGTGTCATAAATTAATGAAAACTAAATTCTGAAAACACCATCTGTGTGCTAATAATGGTCTTATAAATTACCTTTTTTCAATGTTTTATGTTTATTCATCAAAGTAAATGATTCATTACCATCTGAGTTCAAGTTTGTTTCTCTCAGAAATTATATAAATCTACCTTTTTATACATTCATTTTATGTTTCTGAAAGTGTTATTTTCTCTGAGCTGAATGATTTATTTATGTTCTTGTAAAAACTTGCTTCTTGGAGAAGTTCTCTTATCTCCAAACGATGAGAAACATGCTACGTTCTTATTATTTTAAGATAATCGAGAATATTTTTATGCTCAAGTTGAAGATTTTAGAAGTGTTGTGTTATGTAAGTTGCAACTCAAAATTTGCTATCTTGATTTACAGATATTCCCCATCATATAAAGGTTATAAAAAAGCATCATACTTCTTGTTGTTTGAAAAATTCGCTAAGAAATAAGCTTCTACTAAAATAATGCAGTTCAATGAACACAATACCTCCAGCATCCTCATCTTGAGCTATAAATATCGTTTTGTTTTATGTCGAATAGCTCATTTTTTTAAATAGAAAAATTGCTACTTCACCGATGAGAGTTTAAATTATTTCTACTCAAATCCTGTTGTTATTATTATTTTAAACCAACACATTTTATTTGTTGTTTTAGCTACAGGAAGTAAGAACTGTTGAACATTTTGCTTTCTTTTCATGGCCTGATCATGGTACACCTCAAACAACTGAAGGTTTACTAGATTTACTCACTTCTGTTCAATCAACTTATTTAAATGAAATTGAAAAATTGGGCTATAAATCTTATGAAGATCAGAAAACTCCACCTCCTCCAGTCGTTGTACATTGTAGTGCAGGAATTGGTAGAACAGGTAAGTGGTTTGATCTATATATATATATATATATATAATTACTATTTATTCATGCTTAAACATACCTTTGCAGTAATTCAATAGAATTCCCTGTGTTTGTTTCTGTTATGTTGTGTGATCGCTCGAGTCTGATCCTAGTGTACGAGCTTCCAATACGTAAGCACAGACCAACTACTTGAATAAAAAGGAAATTTTATTAACTAAAACCAAGTCAGGAATATACGCACACTCATTCATAAATATATATTTTTCTTCCTTAGACAATAAAGTCAGATTATCCATCAATGGTGTGCATTGTTTTTCGAACTACGTTTGATTGACTTCACGTATAAGCTTATCCTCCTGAAAAAAATATCTGGCATCTTAGATTCAGCTGTTAGAATCGGAATGGAGGTACATCAACTACTGCCAAAGATTCATAGGTCAGTTGTTGAAGCTCTCAACTTTCAACCACAAAATCTCTTGGGTTTGAACTCCACTTCACTTATTTGAGTTTGGACAACCCTCACAAAAAAATAAAGTGGGGCTCAAAGCCATTTATTCGCCAATCGAAATACGACTTATCCAATCTTAGTACTATACTAAACCAATGACGTTCGACCGGTATGAGCAGCCTGGCGTCCGTATTGGTCCTTTGTCCTCCTAGCCCGTCCAAAACACCGATAACAGCTTCACTAGGATATAACAGGTGGGGAAAGTCAATTCCCTCTCTCTCAAAATGCTCTCACATGGGCACACGTATACAGTCACTGTCAGGGAAGTCTTACTCACTGCCTTCCCGCGGCATTACTGTTGTTTACGGAATTGAGATAGCGAAAAACAAATGTCCGGCGCTTTGACCAGGTTGGTGGATATGGAGGGTCCACCTAGGAGAGTTGGAAAACCTTGATTCCAAACCAATGATGCGCATGGGCTCCAGTATCCTGAGGGAACCAGTAACGTATGAACCTATTTTTGATCACGGGCTGCCATGAGACTGCATATCCTTACGTTGCTCCACTGCTTTGTGGATCAGACTTTTAAGTCAAAGACTCTAGGTGTGGCCCCCTAAGAAAACCACCTGCTTCAGTTTAGGTATCGGGCAGTGTCACAGTCCACATAAATCAAGTGACTTGTGTGTCACATATGTATCTGGTGCTTACTTGTACTAATATTTATGTGTTCACATAAATAGATAAATTGAAATTTGAAGTAGATAAGATTTTACTTCATTGACACAAACAATCTAAATCACTGTTGGTATCTAATTAAATCGACTTTTTCAAAAATAATTAGTTTTTTTTTAATATTGACTTTTCTTTTAAAGTGGAAGGTCTAGAGTGATTAATTAAATTATCTAATATTGGATCTATTTACTAATAAAAACGTCATTAAATAATTAAAAGGTATTGATATGTCAATTTTTAATTTATCAAAAGTTCAATGTTCACTAATAAAGACTGAATAATTCACCCATTCTAAATTGATAAATATTCGTCATTGTGTACTTAATAATTCCTCATTGTTTCTCGTTTTTTGCTTAGGTACTTATGTAACCGTGGATATATGTACAAAATGGTTAGCTGATTCACGTAATACAGAGCATAAAATCAATATTCCTCTAACAGTTGCTCGAGTACGTTCACAACGTTTTGGTTGTGTTCAAGTATCATCACAGTATGTATTTTGTTATCGTGCAATCATTGATTTCGCGGTGAATTCCGGTTTATTGGATTCAAATAAAGCTCAACAAGCGTTAGATTTATTGAGCGCTGAATCAGATGCTCAAACATCATCCTCATCATCAGTACTACCGAATTCATCATTTTATCAATCCACATCGTTGCCTAGACCATTTCCTGGACTTATAACAAATTATATTAATGATGTTGCTAGTACATTATCGTCTTCATCTACTTTTCGATATCACCGAAATATTGGTAGTAATACTACTACTACTAGTAGTACTCCTACCAGTAGTAATAATTCACCTTTAGTTACTTCTGTGTCGATGATGTCTTCAAATTCCTCTTCGCTTAATCATCACAGTCGTAGTCCATTCCATGAACTACTAGCTTTATTCTCTCCTGCCAGTCTGGCATTAATTAAAAATTCAATTCGATTTAAAAAATATAAAGATGATCTAAATAGTTCAGACTTTTCCACAATGAACGGTGTTCTAGGTATGGACGAAACTTGTTGTTTGGATGTAACTTCTGATAACAATAACCAGAATACAAATACTTTAAATTCTATAGCATTAACAACCAATTTCACTGGTAATACTACTACTATCTCCAATGACATGAGTAATACATTAAGTAATGGCAGGAATAATAATGATAATAATCGAAGTGAATCATTCATTGTAAATCAACATTTCGATTTTAATATCTCCTCATCGTCTTCATCATTATCAACAAATAGTACTACACATTTACTCATATCCGGACTAACAGATACTACAACCGCTACTACTACTACGACTACAACTCAATTAATAAATAATAACATTGAAAATACTATTATTGTTCAGCCACCATTCACTCGTCCAATGAAACCGGCTATTTTCAGTGATGATAAATCGAATCAGACTGCTAATAATATGGACAAATTTAAGTCGAATAGTAGTATGAAGAAAATTCATTCGGCTACACAATCATCGGATACTGGTAACTCTTGATAAATTTGAACATTGGCAGGTATCGATTATTAAATATTTTGGCGTACCTCATTATCGCAAATCTGCACAACTTATATTACTGATAAATGTGCTGCAGTATTATTATTATTATTTATAAACCTAGTTATAGTACAAATTTGATCAGCTCTAATGTGTATATGTATGTATACACTGAATTTTACAGGCTTCTCTTTACACTTGTACACACGAAATCTGTCTTTTATTCCTATTGGTCTTTTTGAGGACTCGTCATTTATCACTATCACTGTTGTTAATATTGACAAATATACTGCTACTACTAATGGTAAAAATCCTAACAAATATAATGAATGGTACTTTTATGATAATTATCAATGCTATGCCAAATGCATTTGTCAATGAATTTCTTATTTGTATTTATTTACTTCTAGTGTTGCTTCTTTTGTATCCGAGTAAAATAAGACTCGTTTATCAGTTTGTTTTCTTTGTATATGTTGTCCTATTCTTGATAAATCTCAAACTGTCGATTGACTTTTACTTATGTATATGAATCTGTGTATAAACTCATACTTGTGTTTTTTTTGTCTGTGCTGTATGAGAAGGTTTCCTTATTTTCTAATGCTGTTCAATAATTTACAAGTTTTTTTTAAAAACAAAATACATTCAATAATTGTTCGACTCGTGCTTTTTCAATCCACACCCCCTGCTGTCATAACTTTTTTATATGTTTTAACATAAATTTCATTAGTGCAATTAAGAAATTTAAAGTGGACACTGGAACCTGTGTCAAAGTTTGTTATATGTTGTTGTTGTCGTCGTCGTCTCTGCTTTCCTCTCTCTCTCTGCATTATGCTAACTTTCCTACTGTTTCTTCACTTCACAACCAATTGCAATTGTTCCACATTGTTATTACTGCCCAGTATGTCTTCCTGTGGATTTTACTTTTAATTATTGTTATTTTTTAACACCACGATATTATTGTTATTGTATCCATGCAGATGTGTATTCGCTTTCACACACATAAAAGACAGCATCACGTACACTTGCACACACAAACTTAATTCATTGTTTTCTGGATCAGACCAACAAGTATTATTACCTTTGTAATAGTGGTTGTCGTTATTATTGTCCACTTCGTTGTTGTCTCATACACACACACACATATATATATACAGTACATGTTTTTTTTATTCCTTACAATCATACTACTGATCTGTATCTGTTTTGTTTATATTCCCTTATTCATCCAGTAATTTTCTTTTTCAATATAGAAAAAATTCACCATGTTAGTCTTTATTTCCATACATGTGTATTTGTAATAAATTGGTAACTAGTAGTAGGAGTAGTAGTATTAGCAAGTAGTATGTAGTTTACTACATGAAGCAGCAATAACATATATTCTCTTCGTTAACTTGGAAACAAAAAAGAAGGGAATATAGTTCATTTTGTGTTGAATCATCTCCCTTTTGTAAATCTATACAATTCTGTCTCTTTTTTTGTCTATAGAAGAATTTGTTTATTTATGCAATAATTTTCTTTATTGGATTGACTGATTGATTGTTTTCCTTGTGTGTGTATCTAGTTTCCTGCTTTCTTCTGTTTTTACATGATGTTGTAGAGTAATGTAAAATGGAATTCCATTTATACATAATTATGTAAATACTTTTTAATTGAATATGAAGTAGTAATGACAATTTTTTAAAATAAAATATTGAAAGTTATCAGTGAAGTCTTTAGTTTCTTATATGTAATTTTTAATCATCAGGTTCCTCTAGTGGTTAAATTGCTTTCTCCGCCTATTTCATCTTATCTAGACACTCTTGTGTTCTAACTGATTATCGGATAGCGGACAAGCTTTGACTCAAGATGTGTTTAGTTGTAAGGATTTTGTGGAAATTAGTTTGATGCTTCGTTTAGTTGCCAATCCACTTGTTCTACAGATCAAGAGTTCGCTACGATATCTGAAGTCTTCGAGTTTGATTACTTTTTAGGTCATGAGCACGAACTACTGAAGACCCATGATTGGACGAAATAGTTGTCTAGTGCTGGTTGATTACAGTGGTACTGTAATTGGGAGTAGTTTATAACATACAACTTATTTAATATTTGTGTGGATAATTAATTTAATACAGAGAGTTGGATCTAGTTAGTGAATGTGCATTAACTTCATACAATTACGTTTGTGGCCTGGTGATTACATTCATTTTCATGGGCCAACATAATTCAATAATTTATTATCATAGATTACTTCAAGAAGTAATATTAATCAGTCATAACCAGCAAAGAACATAGCAAAAATATATTCACTAGTTTAGATTATCACACCACATTGTCCTTCATAGTGAGGCGAAATTATCAAGAGCAATGTCACAGTAGTAGAAGTATGATTTATGCTACTTATGTCTGTCGACATAAGTAGAAAACCTGGCAGCAGAAGGTTAAGAAGGTCGAGTTGAAGAGAATGAAAGGGAAATTAGAAAGGAATTGTGAACTGGAAGAATTATACAGAATGTTTAGGACAAATGATAGAAACATGCAAATGAAGTACTCAGTGTACGGTTCTCATATTTTACCAAGATATTCTGCAATTTCGTATTGATTGTCCCCATCGGGGTTCTCGTTCGACATATGTAGCAACGTTATCAGTAGGATGAAAAGTAAATTTTTCAAACAAACTTGCGCTATTGCAACTGATTCCAAACTAATTTATTCAGTGTCTACGACTATGGGTAACGATAATCGCGCAGGTTATCAGCGTTTACCATCATGTCTTGGATCAAGGGTCGATAATTTTTGGACTGATGCTTAGTCTTGGTCTCACACCAGCAAACGCATGCGTCGAGGTAAGTAGGGCTCGGCATACGTAATACTTTCTAGCCCATTCAAACGATAAAGGTCTGTTATTTCTATGTCTACTTAGGACTACGAGTTTTAAAAGAGCTATGTGTTAGTGTATAGGTTTCTCTAGACACAAGTCATAGAGAGTGTAACTCCATTGATACTCGTATTTAACATTCATATTCATCAGTTTATTAAGGAATTCTTTCCAAAAACATTGATAATACTTTATATCTCATTAAAGATCTAATTACTATTTCTGAATTTTTGTGTGATGACCGTCAAAAGTTTCCACTTTTTGCTTTGTTAGTCCGTTTTCGTTGCTTTCTATTGATTATTTTTCACTCTTATCATAGAATTAGCGAATTTCCGTAGATAAAACATCACTATTGCGTGTTGTTGTTGCGATGCTTAGGGAGAAACCAGTTGTAGAGATTAGTAATTCCCTGGGTTCGTTAGTGAGGTATGTATTCAACATTGATTTTGACTTCTTCAGTTTCAATAGATTAAACGTATGACCAAGCATTTATGTTGTTTTTTATGCAAACTTTATTCGAGGTCACTAGGCTTGAACAAGAATCTTATCGAGACACGGCGTAGATGCTTGCCCATACTCCTTCAGTTAGTCCAACTGGTTAAAACTGATGAGGTCATCCCGAACATCGAATATTCATTGAACTTTTGATTTTGAGAAAATATTTACTACTACAATCCCATTTTATTTGTATTCAAAAATCCTTCGTGACCAAACCTTGAGACCATGAACCTGGTAGCCACTTCAATTATGCGAAGGAAACGTCGAACAGGACACAGTCAATCTAAATTGCTTGAATTCACAACCTTGCATGCAGCTTACTCACACCATTTTCATTTGAACTTTCTGTCATCATATCACATGTATTTAACCCATTGTATGGAATCACCTCATCTGGTTGACAGGTACTTAGTCATCAACTAAAGCTCGCTATCTTATGAAGACAGAGGTATGCAGTCTATAAGGTGAAGAAAATAGCAATAAACAAAAAAAACAAAACAGAATTAATCGAACCCTCGTGAAATCATTTAGAATCACTTGCACTGAAAACTTAAATTAGCATACAACTGAACTGAACAAGTTTTATAGTTTTTTTCAAAATTAACATACTCGGAATACTTATTCGGGTGAAGTGATCAGGTATTTTAACATACAGTTTCAATAATATTCTGTGATCGAGTTTAGAATGGTTAACATAGAATATACTTCTTGTGGTTGTTGTACAGAGAATATTAGATTATATTTTTGTAATAGCTCATTGTCAAAATGTCTTACATACTTATTGTCTAAAATCATCATGATCTAAAGAAATGAAGTTCATTTCAACGGACAGGAGTTATCTACAACTGTCTGCTATGAACACGTCCAGTGTAGTGTAGTTAACTAACCAGCTATAAAACGCAAATACAATAAACGTTAGATTTATAAATAAAATTTGTATTAAAATTTTTACTCCAATACTCAGCATTCATCTATTATTTATTTATTTAAACACATAAATATTAATACAAAGGGGCACCGGACATATATGAGCCCCACAAATTTCATTTGATTTGTCTGAGGGCTGTAATACTGCCAAGGTGCCTACACCGAAGCAGGTGGTTTTCATAGGGGGCCACACCCAGAGCCTTCGACCTAAAAGTCTGATCCACAAGGCAATGGAGCATCATGAGGAGATGCAGTCACATGGTAGCCGGTCACCAACACTTTGTTCATACGTCACTGGTTCCCTCAGGATACTGGAGCCCATGTGCACCATTGGTTTGGAATCAAGGTTTTCCAACTCCCCTAGGTGGACTTTCCGTGCCCACCAATCCGGTTAAAGCTCCGGACATTCGCTTTTCATCCTCTCAATTTCATAAACAACACCCCCGCCACGAGAAGGCAGTGAGTACGACTTCTCTGGCAGAGGCTATATACGCTTGGCCATGTGAGAGCATTTCGAGAGGGAGAGCGGACTTTCCTCACTCTCGGCAGTATCAGGGCATTTGGGGACATTCATCTGTTAACTGTACAGTGATATAACCAAAAGCAAAAATTGTCTCGGATAACCTCAACCTTACATATACATAATAGGCCCTATTCTTGAGAGTTTGAGACCG